GTAATCATACTATATAACATTATAAATGTGAATGTAAGTTTGTTTGTTACGCTTTCACGTGAAAACTACTTAACCGATCATCATGAAACTTTGTACACATATTCTTGGAGGTTTTAGAAGTAACATATGATACTTTTTATTAAAATAATATTTTTTTTTTAATATATTTGTTTTAAAGAATTAATTAATTTATCAGATTCCCTTTTCAAAAAACAATGTACGTCATAAACCATTTTCCGTGACTGCCGTTTCAAAACAATATTTCTTCTAGGCATATTCACTGTTTAAAGTCACAAACAAAAAATAACTTAACAAAATCAAACTTAACAAAAAACAGCAACAAAAATTAACAGCGATAGCAATATAACTCAGAACGCGACTGTACTCTGGAAGCACGCGGCGTGTCGTATCAGTGCGGGGGACGTAATGCGACCGGAGAGCCAATCGGCGCTACGCACGCCCGCCCTTCGTCCCTCTTACCCCACAAGATACCTGATTTTTGACTTCTGCGCAGGAACTGTCACCGCTAAAGTTACGTGCCGCTAGTTATAACAGGGTTTCTTTTATACCTTAGTTTTTATTTTTATCTAAATTTTTATTTATACCTTAATTTCTTTTATATCTTAATTTCTAGTTATACCTTATTTTCTTAACCTCTAGTTCAGTTCTCTTATTGGATTGTAATGTCATTACGTTACATTTGGATTTTGCCTCACTACCGGCCCGACCCAAGGATTTAGTTTGCTGCGGAGCGTACCTATAATGGTAGAAAAAGCTGTTTAGCTGCAGTCCATTATCAGGAAACTTGGAATACTTACCCCGCCACTACCACCACGGGGGGGGGGCAGGAGTGAGATTTATTAGAATTAATTAGCCCTAGTTTCATTCGGACTGAGCCAAAGTCATTAGGTATGTTTTTTTTTATATTAATTTGGTTGGCGTTGTGGCATTGGATACCGCAGGTCCCCAAGGGTTGTTATTTTTATTAAGGGAGTAGGTTGATGCTACAACTACCCTTAGATTCATTTCCTATTAAGTCTTTATGTGACTCTTTAAAACATATTTAATTTTAGTTTGTTTTATTCAGTTGAACAGATTGCATTAACGACAGTACTAATTTGAGTATAAGAATTACATATTGTAATTAGAACTTTAAGATACCATGTACTCTACAGACACTACGGGATAATAAACTGCTACTTGAACTTAACATCTTTGTATTTAATAGCTGCCCCCCATCCTAGCTTAAAGGTCTAGCGCTGACCGAGCTGTTCGAGGCATTCATTGTATTTGTGGTTAGTTGTCTGTGTTCATTTAAGGTTAAGGCACCTGGCGCCCGAGTTTATTAGTTTTGTTAGGATTTGTGGTGCCACCAGTTAGTTTATTCGTTTGTTTAGAACACAGATAACAATTAACATTTCACAATTACACACAAATAATTTTTTTTAATTTTTTAATATTACAGTTTTGAAAGTGAAACATCAACTCACCAAAATAGAAAAGACCCGAGTGAGACAAAAGAAGGTAGGAAGAGTCATGAAGGAAACCACCGAAGTGGTCCGAAAGGAATGCAAAGGCTGCAAGGCCCAGAAAAAGAGAGTGCAAACCATTTACGAATGTAAGCAATGTGAAGGTTCCCCAGGCTTCTGTACACAATGTTTCTGTCAGGCACATTCCTAAGTTTTTTATTTTATTTTAAGTTTTTTTTCTTTGTGTACGTAACATACTGTGATTCAGAGTGTCATTTTTTAGTTAAACTTATAATTAAGTATTATGTTTTTATGTTTGATTTTTATAATTGTAGATTTTAATGCTTCTTTGCATAGATTGATTAATATATCTTTCTAAATAAATAATTCTCCAGATGCATAATTGTTTTATTTACTTACTGTTTTTTTAAGTCACCACATGATGACATTTTAGTTAATAAACAATTGCCATCCCTAGCACTCGGATCCGAGTGTTCGGCACCCATACATATTTTCAAACATTCATATTTACTTAATCAAAATTCACCATAAAAAGTTATGGCTTACGGCTATTACTTTGTATCCATTGTTTAAGCAATCAATGTGTTAAAATATCATTGCTTTTTTGAGTTTTTTTTTTCAGGAGGCTTCCACTCCTCTGCTAGTGCGGTGACTGGAAAAGACTGACAATGAACCTCAGGTAAGGGGGGAGCCACAGTCGGTAGGCTGCTTGAGCTCGCAGTATTCCAATCTACAACAAAATATTACAACATTTATTACTTATATAATAACGATAATAATATTTTCAGACATCTGACACACAACACCATCTAGTTTCAAACTAAGCAGAACTTGTACTATGATACCTAGATTGACTGATATGAGACATTAGTTGTCCCTGGTATGTTTATCTGTAGGATTGCTGTGGTGGTGTTCAAGTAACATTTATAAAGTGACAGATGTTATCTATATTTACAATTGAATTTATTTTAATGTCAAGTAGCAGTGGAAGTCTCATAACAACGAGAAATTCAATTATATATATGAAATTTATTATATTCTCAAATGTTATTTTACATTACAGTATATTTAGTATTGCAAATAGTAAATTTAATATACACTCACCTTTCCAGAAATTCCACCATAGCCACGTATTGTAAATGGCTTGTTCTCACTATGACTTTTTTTGATGTTGGGAATTTTGGGTGCAGAAGATGGTAAAACACGTCTCCGTCTGTGCTGCTCAACAGTTCGATTTATTGTGGCACGACTTACTGTGGTTTATTTCAAGAAATCTTTATCAGTTTATTTTCACATAACACTCAACGATCTAGTGGTATACGACTTAGCTATTATTGGAAGCTTGGCTTTTTGTCACAATCGACAGCCAACTCGATGTAATAATACAATTAATATTTCCTAGTTCTTCTTAAAGTTTCAAGGTTTACAATAAAAATAATAAACAATTTATTGACATAGCGTCGTAGCTATGTCAATAAATTGTCAAGTGGAGAAGTGTTATTCAGAAACCGAAAAAAATGTCATAATTATCAATTCTTCAAATATACTACATTTTAAAATCTCCCATACCTCATTTAAGATTTATCATGTGTTTATATAAGTATTTTTTGTTCCAATTGTCAATAAATAGGTAGTTTAACCGAAAGTAATAAAAAGTTCACTATTTCATTGTTTTCGAACGCTTAGTTCATTTAATAAGATGTTGAATTCGTTCTTAAGTGCTCATCCTTATTTACGTTAGGATGACGTCACTAACGTAATCGTATCGAGCTCTCGATACCTTAACGTTAGTGCTTCGTGCTACCGCCTATCGTAAAACTCCGTTAACGTATCGAGGACTCGATACGTTTACGATACGCATTCGAAAATTTTTCGTGCTCGAGGCACAGATCAATATTTTACAAAATATTCACCTAGGAAGTTATGGCTGCGCAATCGTACACTTGTTACTTTATTATTGATTATTTCTTTAAGACTTATATAGTAAAACTATTACTAGAAGGGTCTTAAATTAACAAAATTAATGAAAGCAATAACTACTACCAGTTTAGTTAGACATAAACATAAGTACGTGGTCGCAAAGTCGAAACGTTACTTTGTCGGCAAAGACTGCGAGACTTCAGTCCTGAACTATTGATAAATGGAACTCTTGGGGGGGGGCTAGTCCGACTCGCACTTGTCCGTATATGTCCTGAGTTCCCTCGTGTTCAGCATTATCAGACGAGAAGATTTTGCAAATATAAAGCCGCCGATGTAAAGTAAGTAAGTGTTTCATGTCAGATGTTAGTATAATTAGAATTTTATTTTTTCAAAAGATCATTCACATGGTACATTGGTAGAAAAACGTAATCTATGTAAATATAAATTGTTGTATAAATGTAAATAAGAGGAGGTAGGAGGGCATGGTGGTTACTACATTTGAAGTTTGTTTTAAAATGTCAATAAAAGAATTATTTATATCAACAAATTTAATGCAAATAGTTTTTTTACGAAATATATTTAAGTGAATACCTCCGAATATAAAAGAAAATGTCATTTATTGGTGTACGCAGAGGTAAACTCTTAAAAAAAGTTCAAATAATTAAACATGATACTTGTTATTGGTTAAGGGCATTCATAATGCTTTTTACTTCACGAAATTTTACAAATATTCTCCAACCAGTACCAAAATGAATCCAAACCAATGGCCTGTTCGGTATGCATTCACTTTGCATTACAATAACATAGTAAAATAAATTACCTCAAAGAAATGTAAAAACCAAATTAAGTCACAGCATGAAGTTAGAAATGTTATTAGACATAAAATATCAATCATTTGGTGTCAATTGTTATCAAGTATCACTTTCTTAACTTTCTAAAGCTTTTAAATGTTATTCGATAAATTGACAAATTACTCAACATTTTAGATCCAACGAAAAGACATGGGACCACTTAACTCATAATTCAATGTCTACACTTCCTTGAGAGGTACAGTTTCAAATACATAACATAATCTTTGTAGCCACATCATCAGTAACCATCCTTACACGATTTGGAGAATCAGGTTTCAACAATATAGCAAATACTATTGCATTCTATGATTGACTAATTAAACAATGATTGTAAAACATCTTTACAATAATTTCTTAGCCTAGAGCAAAACAAAATAAGGCATTTTCCTACACATGTCTATCAAACATAATTATCCAAATAGAAACTGTTCATTACAAATAAATCAAATTCATGGAAACTACTACTGTTTTACATATAAACATGCATTGCAATTCGATTTTTTGTGAGATCAATACTCGTAATATTATTTGGTCCAATATTTAAAAAATAAACTGATTCCATGAATTCGACTCATATGTCCAACTTACACAATATTTTTGGCTCATCGCGTATCCCGTGAAGTCCATAACTTTACATCTAAACATCTTCGTTATCCTCATAAAATCTTTTTTTATGAACTAGTCTTGATATTTTATTTATATTACATTTAATTATAAATAATGTATATGTAGAGGTAAATTAAATCGCTTCTGTTTCGAACTGACTACCCCTGCAAATAGATATAGGTCCATATGTTTCGTGCTGTTCTATTTTCAACACTTGATGTTTTTTCAGTACAAGTAAACTGTAGAATTTTTGTGCCACCTGAAAAATGATAACAATAATTTTATCACTACATATAGCACCTCCATCGTGTCTGTTTGTCCATTCGACCGCGATAAAACTTCAAGAACTATATTTTATAAGACTTTCACCAATGGGTAGAGTGAGTCATGAGGAAAGTTTACACCTTTTAAAGAGATGATTTATATATAAAACAACACTAACCTGCTTTCTGTTATTGTGTCTGGGTGCAAGTTCTGTGAATGTTAGTTGTAATCCCATGGCCAGTTTAGGCTTCATCACTGCGAATAGTTGCGCAGCTCTGCGATTCAATACCCGCTCTTCGAACTGCTCATCTGTTTCACCCGCTTCACGCTCACCGTCTTCCCCCTTGAGAAAATATAAATTTTGTTTATTTTATCACCTTTTTTTTTAAATATTTGACATCTGACACACAACGCCATCCAGTTTCAAACTAAGCAGAGATACTATGAAAGATTGACTGATAGAATACTTACTTGTATACTTTTTCATTCGTAAATACATATTCATAATAATTATATACACCCAAACTCCGAAACTAATATTTGCAGATCATATAAACATTTGGTCCGACCCGAGAATCGAACCCGAGCACAGCAATATTCTGCACGGGATTTTAGAGTTGTAATTCAGGCTAATTTTCATTATTGTTAACGAATTAATACTTACATTGTCTGGGGATAACGGAAGATCGTAATCGTGAGCTGGGCTGTGATGGCCATGTTGGTCATCGTAACCCAAGTTTGTCATCTGCATTCCACTCTGAAAAAAATAGTACTCATTATAATTTTAATATCAGTTTATTACACTCGTAACATCTTGGTACACTCGTAACAACTTTGTAAGCTGCTGTTTGCTGTTGTTTAACCAGCCTTCATAGGTCAGTCAAACTTGTGAAAACTATAGCAGCTACTACTCTAACTACACTATGGTTTAAGTACTACGCGATTTGAGTTTACTGTTTGTTATCTATGTCAATAAATATGAGTGGGGGGGGGACTCTGAAGCGAGGTACATGACAAGATATGATGACAGATATAGATGGCCAAAAACAATTAGTAACCTGATAGTCCCCGTGGTCGTCGAGTCCGTGCAGTAGCGGCTCCATAGGAACAGTATGGGGCAGGTCGTGCGAGGTGCGGTCGGGCTGGCTCGGGGGAGCCGCTCGCAGCAGTGACGACACCTCTCCGCCGAGTTGTGGCATCATGGGCAGCTGCTCCAGGCCGTGTTGTAGGATCGCGCCGTGTTGGACACCTGTCCAAACAAATAAATATTGTTTATCACGTCTGGGTCAAACAGTAATTATCCTAAAGTAGCAATCAAAATAGGAGTTTTAATACAGTAACTTGTTGCATTGACAGGGGATTCTGAATTTAACAATTGACCTCAATGTAAAAATGTAAAAACTGCCAGTACTGTAAGTAATTGCAAGTCCTTACTAATTTTATAAATGGAAATCTGAGTTTCCTTTTTTTGCTATACTTTGCACCCTAACGATTGAACATCATAAAATTTTTATCCAGAAAAGAAGTACTGTTTTTCATTGGAATACCTGAATTGGTTGTCAAAATTTACTCAAGCAACATCTAGCTTAAGATTAACCGTGGGCAAAACCAAGTAAATAACAAAAGTAAATATTTACCCGATGGCGTCATTCCTCCATGCTGCAATCCTGCGGGTGTCATGCCACCATGTTGAAGGCCACCTGGTGTCATACCGCTGTGTTGTAACCCTGACGGGGTCATGCCACCATGTTGTAACCCTGCCGGTGTCATACCTCCGTGATGTAACCCAGCCGGGGTCATACCTCCGTGTTGTAGACCCCCTGGTGTCATGCCTCCATGTTGTAATCCTGCTGGCGTCATACCACCGTGATCCAGACCACCTGCAGGATAGCATTATATAAAAACTATATTTTATATAATTTGAAAAACTCTAAACCAGTGCAAGATCATGAGTGGGAATTATGTTTCTTATATTTACATTAAAAATGGATCTTTACAAAACACTATGTTTAGCATACTCTTTTAAAATGATTGTCAACACAAAATTTATTAAAATCATCTACTAACCTGGTGTCATACCACCATGATGTAAATCGGCAGGTGTAAGACCACCGTGAACTAGCCCCGCTGGTGTCATGCCGCTCTCTAATAACCCTGGAGTCATTCCTGGATAAGTAAAATACCAAACTGTTGTTATACAAAATTAAGGCCTTGCACATTTTTTCCCTGCAAGAACCTAAAACAGTATCTCCGAAAGAAACAATCATCTCCTGCTAAAAATTTCAGATATCAATTGTGTGTGAGAGTGAGAAATTACATGAGTGATTATAGCTTTGCAGGATCCACTATTGCCCAACGAATTCAGAGACTTCAAACCAAGTCAATAGGGAATCTGCATGTATTTTTTTTATTTTTTTAAACGATTCTACTACTTATTACATTACCAAAAAAAAAAATAACACATCCGAAATATAAACCGTTAAGCAAAAAAAAATTTATTAAAATCACCATCATTTTGGGGCAATTTGAACACGTTCATTTTGGCGCGCTTTTTTTGTGACGAAATTTGCGAGGGAATCTTAAAAAGCCAATTTTTGATGATTAAATTTCACTTTTAAATTATAATAAATTTGAAAAATAATTGTATGGGTATCTTTTTTTAGCAATAAAAATTACAAATAAAAATATTTTGTCCATTTTGGTGTCACGTGCATATTCCCTATTGTACAGGATATTATTTCAAAGTTTATATTCATAGTAGCCCTGAGTAGGCAAAACTTCTGTTCATTGCCAATCAGAACTATTACTTTGCTTGGTTAGTCAATGCCAGATCATGTCCACCGAAATCAAGAACCTAGCAGCTTGCTAATTTTAACCTCCTCACGGAGATCTGATCATCTCAACTCACCACCATGATGCAAGCCAGCAGGTGTCATGCCACTCCCGACAAGTCCGAGATCTCCAGCGTCTCCATGCTGCAGACCCGCTGGGGTCATGCCACCGTGGGCGAGGCCTCCTGAAGGAATACCACAATATATTATTTTTATTTAATTAACGATTTCGCCTTCTATTGAGGAATCCAAATAGAGAATGTACTACACGATACTGATACAGATCTGAGTGCACAAGGTAAAGACGTCTGGCAAACATAGTACTTTCAGTTTTGATTGGCAGCTTCAATAATATACATCAAATGGTGGTAAAGTTTCAAAGATAATATTATTATTATTATAATTAAGATGACAGCACAGCAATATTGTTTACATAACTAAAGTAGTAAATCGGTAGTATAAAGGTAAGCGTCATTATATGTGTATAATTTTTGTTTACACCTAAACCCAAATGCCAAACATATGTATGTACCATAACCTTATTTCTTGAAACGATAATTTAGTAAAATTCATAATAAATAATTTAAGATGTATATTTGGATAGTCCATATGTCAGTACTTTCTGTACCAGTATGTAACGGGTGTCCCAAGAAGAACGCAATTTTTAAATCTGGCAACATTCGAAGTGTCATTGTTTGACATTTGAACAATTGTTATTGTTTGCTAGTAGAAGGTACGAGGTTAGTAAAAATGGAGCGCTACACGAATGAACAACGCATTCTCATTGTGAAATTGTTTTAACAAAATAGTGAAAGTTTTACCTGGTGTTAGAGAGCCGTGTTGCAGACCGCCTGGCGTGAGACCACCGTGTAATAGTGTTCCAGGCGTGAGAGGTCCTAATACACCGGGTGTTAACGGCGGGCCCAACGAACTTAACATACCTGTTTAAATTATTTTATGATTAAATTATGACAAAGAATGAGTTAAAATTTGTATCAACTACTTTCAAAGTATATTGTTTGCTTTTTTAACCACCATATCGATTAGGGAAAAATATATTAAAATAATAAATATGTCCGTGTGGTGACGGATTAAGAATACGAAGTGTTATCCCATGGGTGTCGTAAGAACCGACTAAGGGAGCAAACTACGCAGGACAACAGCACTGCAAAGAGAAGAAAAACTTGATATAAACCCTATACCAACCCGTCTGGCCAACATGGTATAGTAGGCCAAATCCTCCTAAGGAGAGGCCTATGTGCAGCAGTGGACTACTAACGCCTGCATATGCATATTAAAAAAAAAAATTAGTGTAAGATGATCCTCTAAGATTAATTGAGCGTTACAGAGGAATCTGTCCTTAATCAACTGTTCATGGCCTTTAAAATATTTTCTTATAAAACAAATAGTTGGCTGTAAAGGGCTAAGAATGGAGAGTGAATAAATATTATATCCAAAGAATTTCACCTGGGGTACCCGGTGTCTGCGGCGGGTCCACGTCTAGTCTTGATTCGGGCCGAGGCGATTGATATCCGACGTTTTCCGCAACTGGTTCCGTTTCTAACCGTGCACCATATTATAGTAATGTTAATTTATGTGCGGTTAGGTGGTATATGTACAATTATTACAAAAAATTACCATGGAATAAAGCTTTGTCATATAATGTAATAAACTTCATGTTTAAAAGTTTCCTTTACACTATAACATTCATTGATACAATGAAGTTTGTTTTTGTATACTTTACTTCATGGTGAACTTTTCCTTATTTTATGTGGTTATTAAGAATCGATGTTCAATGCAAGCGTTTTGTTCTAATGATATTTGATGGTGAATCTGAGTACTGTATCGATAGATATCTGAGAGATATCTATCGATACAAATATATATATTTATTTAGCCAAGGGTCATGACATTTTTTTTAAATTTATTATGTATAGTACGGCGCAATTATTTGCTTTCTTTCCAAACCATGTAGAAAATTAAGAGTCACAGCTAACCCGGTACTATTTCAGAGATTCTAGTGATTATTTTTACTAGACAGTAGAATGAAAAATATATGGTAGACTTTACTGACAACTCAAGTGTGACTATGGATCATCCTCTTGATATCTTGGGTACCATTTTAATATTATTTTTCAATGGGAGCATTATTTGCATGGGAGTACAATTAAAGCAATAAATTATAATGATAAAGATTGGCATAGGACAATAAATGATAACAGTGATTTAGTTCTTTAAACAAGGAAACCAAACCAAAGCATGATCATGCTGCGGTGTTTTAAATGAAAACCATATCCCATTGGATGAAAGCATTAATATTACATAAATATCGATGGCTACTCACCGACAGAAGGTTCGTATTCTTGCGGCACTGGGGTAGGAGGTTCTAAGTCGGCTATTGGAGGTGGTGCTGGAGTTTCCGGTCGCTGTAAAGACTGGAAAAATAATACATAACATTTTTATGACTATAATTTTGTTGTAGAAAATTCTTATGGAAAAACAGTATGCTACCTTTGTGACCAGATTCTGAAAGTCTGTCTTGCACAAATATTATGTGCTTTTATATATCTGTAAGATCTAAACTAAAAGACTTGTATAAAACAAGTCTTTTAGTTTTCTGGAGTGATTTTGTGTAAAGGGGTGAATGTGCGTATCAAAGCGGCCGGCAAGCTCACGTCAATTGATTTGATCAATGAGCGTGCGTGGGTTTAACGGTAGGAGAGACGTAAGGCTCTCCCTCGTTTTTTAAATTCATAATTCTACATTCTATAAAAATACACGATTATACAATACTTTTCGAAACGGCATCTCAACAGTCTATTGATCTATTTTGATTTTTTTTATTCAAACCCGAAAACGTTAAAAATTTTGTTTTGACTCGATTAATACGTTCAGATGAAATACTGAGAAATTGATTTTCGATTAATGCGAAGATTAATTAATTTAGATTAATGATTAATTTAATAAATCATTAATCCAATTTAACTCTTCAAAATAATAATAAAATATATGAGTGGTGGAGTGTATAAGCATGTGTCAGGAGGAGCGCGCTTACGTCGTCGTGCCGGCGCTTGCGCGTGTTGCGGCGCGCGGCGCTGGGCTCGGCGGGGTCGGGCGAGCGCGCCGCCTCGCCTTCCTCCGCCTCGCTGCGGAGCGTCATGTTGCGCTGGTATTTCTGGAATATGGACACGTTTTTATATTTTTTTATCGTACAGTTTTAGAAAATAAAATTTTCGATTATATTTGGCTTCAATATTTCCAAAATACGCAGTGACGGTCGGTCTAGCGTATCGATCGACGCTCACCTTGAACAGAATTCTAGAAGGTATCGGCCTAGCCGGTAACGTGAACAACTTCTCCACGCCGCCCGTCTCTTTCCAGTGCATCAGCCTTCTGGTGGGGGGCGCCAGATCCAACGTGGTGACGATGTCCGACGTGTTACTCAATTGATTCTTCATCTCCTCGCCGGATATATTTTTCACCTCGTCGACGATCAGCTTGCGCTTACGTTTCGTTTTCGTTATGCCTGCGAGAGATAAAACGTTATCGGCGGCCGTCTATCACGGGACGATCCAGGGACGAAAGATCGTTAGCGGGACGTACCCTTGAGCACGGTGGCGTCGACGGGCGCGAGGGCGAAGGACTCCTCGTCGTTGTGCAGCAGCGTGGTGTTGTCGGGCGCGCGCTCGGACGCGGCGCCGGGCCGGGGCGTGGCGGGCGCGGCGCTGGGCGGCCCCGCCTCCTCCGCCGCCGGCGCCGAGCTCGGGGACTCCGCGCCCGCGCCGTCCACGTCCTGGACCACACCGCACGACATGTTATAACGTCGCTCTATTCATAATTACCGATAGCACCGGTGTATTTGTAAAACGTGGATAATTAAGATATTTTTGGCTGTTTTATTTATATTTAAAGGTAGTAACAACATTATACATATCATAAATCATAAAAAGCTCTATATCTTTAACTGTATGTATATCATAGCAAGCTGTATGATTAATGCTCATATTAATCATATAGCTTTCTTTAAATAGACTCTGAAATCCTAACTACTAGACATGAGACAAAATTACAGTGAACTGTGATTTATCATTCGATTTTTGCGACGTAGGGTTGTTAAGTAGGTAGGTTAGACGCTATTCAACAGTAAATCTAGTTTTTTTTTTTTAAATTATTATGTAGGGTATATATAATAAACTAATTACTAGATTTACAGTTAAATAGGCGAAATAGGGTATTTATGCATTGCCTGAAAACAGCTTACTGGCAACAACGCGTGAGTACGTAGTGACCCTAACTCTAATAAAAAATCTAATAATAAATCACCGTTCATTTACACTCCATAATACATTTATTTCTGGGTTGTGGTCAAATGGTTGAGTTAAGAAAATTTGCCATTCCACTTCAAGCACATTATTTTATTTCTTATGCAGTCATAAGTTTTAGTTGAAAGAATCCAAATGAAATATCTCACCATGGGTACTGGCGCCAGCGGTGAAGCAGGAGCAGGCACTGGGGGCGGAGGCATACTTTCTGGAATGGGTGATCCAGCCCAGCTGAAATACATCAATCACTTTAACTTATGATAAACACACGCTTCAAATGAACTGCAGGTTATGAAAGGACAAACATATAAACTTATTTCCTGAATTTGCAACATGCCTAGTAAGTTTTTTTACTGATATATAGATTATAAAAACAGCTAATTAAAAAGCTTTTGAAACAATTTTTAAAATAATAATAATCATATTAGTGAATTAGTGTTACTTTAGAATAGCGTGTTTTACCAAATAAGTTCTTCACCTTTATTTCCTGGCATTAATATAAATATTATTTATTGAATTAGTAGTACAAAACGCATAGCAGTTGGTCATCTGACAAAATTTGTATTACTGTACCTGTGTTGCGGCGAGTTGCCAGCATCGTAATGATCTCCCATATCATCGTCGGAGTCTGGTGCGTCGGCAGCAGCCATGTCTCCTCCCGTCTCGCCTGCGTTTACTCCAGCCGCGTCAATCTCAGCCTGACGATACAATATAAACATTCATTTAAATAAAAATTGATAATGGTTTCATTCGTTCTTTTGTTTTTTTAATTTTATTCAAGAGGAATAAATACAGTATAAAAACATAAATAGATTAGAATTTTGTGAATTTTTGAATCTATCTATTAAAGTGAAATATTTACACTGTTTAGACAAGCCAGGCCAACTCCATGGACTCACAAAGCAAAAGTTGAGTGTGAGTGAGTCTTCAGTACCTCTGATCGATGTACAATCGCCAATGCCAGTAGATAGTAAATGTGGAGGTCTCAGAATCAGATTCTTTACTACATTCTTATTTAAAATAATAAATGGTAAGAAATACTATCTGAGTATTTCTACTGAACATTAATCAGGTATAAGTCCATTAATGTTTAAGCATGTGATTCGAATTGAACCAAAACAATAATGGTACCTGCAGAGACTGTGGTTGCTGTGAAGTGCCGGGCATGCCGGAGGCTGCCGCGGCCGAGCTGCTACTACCAGTTACCTCACCGAACAAATCGCCCTCAAAGAGACCGCCCGCATCTAAGAAAAGAAGCATTTATTAAAAAAAATTGTCATTGTCAAACTAATTAGATGATTCAATTCATTTAAGCTATGAGGAACATTAGAACTTTTCGAACTGCATTGAAATAATTATATTTATCTAGGTATATTTTGCATTCATTATAAAAAAATACAGTTTGGCCACTTGAATTTCAAATTCCATGAATGAGTAGTCATAGTAATATTGATTGCCTCCTATCGTTAGCATTATTCATATTACATATTATTGGCACTATAACACAATTTTACGTACTGATTACCATACAGTAGCAAAGGAGCAGAAAGTTTTTATAAGTACTCACGTCCAAAATCCGGTACATCAGCAATATTTCCTCCGAAGCCGTCATCCATATGTGCAGGTGCAGGCTCCATTCGTCGCGAAACCGCACCAAGTGCCTCCACCCCACCCAAGGATCCCACGGTCTCCTTCCCGCCTAATTCCAAAGAGGAACCATCAGCAAATAGTAAATTACTCTGCAACAGAAAACAGTATTTAATTATGTTATTTATACATCATCATGTACATAACAAAATATGTGTTTTACCATTAAATGCATAACTTTAACAATTCTTATATTTATTTCAATAAATAATTATGATATAATTATTGAATTATTCTATATTGTTAAGATTTGGTACGTCTTGCAGTTGCATTTTACATATACAGGTTGTGTAATAATAACAATAGATTCAATTTGTTCAATTGAACCAGGGGGACACAACACATTCATAGTGGTCATATCATGGCCATTATTGGCATTTGTACAAAAATTACAAGTTGTAGCTTTACGGTCGCAATAACATAATGGCACCTTACCTGTTCTAATCCACCTTCGTTGCCAATAGCCTCTCGCATGATATCCGGGTTATCTGTATCGAATCCCATATCGCCGAACCCATCATCGTGAGTGACGAGGTTCAAGGATCCATAGTCCTCTCGCATTGTGATCTCTTCAGCCCTAGACTGGTTCAGTGAATACTGAACTTCGATGTCTACCTCGCTGTGAAGATCAATGATAAAATTTAGTTTATTAAGTACAAGCTTTTTCCTGCGGCGGTATGTCGGTTATCGCGGTAAAAAGTAGCCTATGTAATATAATATAATATTCTACCACATTCACACAACGCCATCTAGTCCCAAACTAAGCAGAGCTTGTACTATGGGTACTAGACAACTGATATAAATACATATATATACTTTTTTTTTGTAAATACATACATATTATACATAGAAACAGCCAGACCAAATCAAACATTAAATGTTCATGCACACAAATGTTTGACTTGAGCGGGAATCGAACCCGCGACCATTAGAATAGCAGTCTGTTACATAAACCACTACGCCATGCGGTCGTATGTGACTCGAGTCACATGGTTACTACTTCCACAGGTGAACATTTTTAAAATCGCTTTAGTGGTTTAAACGTGAAAGCGTAACAAATTAACTCGTTTTCACATTTATAATTTGATGGCGATCCGGTCGAGGTCGAGGTGATTTCGCACGGGTGCAATGTAGATACTAATAATACCACTAATGTGGTGTCAATGTGAAGTTATTAATTATACTATTATTATGATCCGACTATAGAACTACAGGACATCTTTAAATGCAATATTTAATAGACCCACGCCGATCCTGCCACCCAGAACGAGAGTACGGCTCGAAGTTGGGGCCCCGCATTTTTACACGCTTTTTATTAGCTTCACCTGTATTTTTGTTTGTTTGTAACCGACTCCTTTGGGCGTCGGACTTTACTGGACTTTAAACGGTCAGAATTCTTGCAAACTTTGTAGATATATTGAGGACCGATGACAATACACTAATAAAATAAAATAAAATAAAAAAATAATATAAAAAAACAGTTTAAAAAAATAGAAAATAAATAAATAAAATAATACATAATTTATATAATTTTTTATTTTATTTTTTAGTTTGGATTTCCATAAAAAGGGTGTTTTTAGTTTTTTAAACTATTATTATTAACCTCTAATATCTTATTAAATTTTCATTGTAATGACATGCTGTAAGAAGCAATTTTTAATCTACATTAAATTCACAATGTATCTAACGTATTTAATTGGATACGGAATAATAATGTATTGTTTACAACAGCTTCGTAAATAACTCATTTTTTTTGTAATAGTTAATAGATAGACAAATCGCGGACTTATTTGTAGATGTCGCCCGCGCGCACCAATCTGCTGCAGCGGGCGCCGTTTACGCGCACGCTGCTCTCAATGCGTTGTCGGAACTGTCGGATCATGTTGACATTTTTTCATGTTCGCTTAATGAATTCACAAATGCCATATATTGCGTACTGACTTGCTCTAATTTTTAATTTTATGTTTTTAAGTATTTTATCATATCAGCAGTCTTGCATTATTGTATTGGTCTATCTGTGATGATAATGTATAGTATGGTGTAAATAAATAAAGAAATACAATTCCGTAGTACATTATTTTAAGACAAATCTTTGAAATTCTCGGATTTTCTCTACTATAATATGCATGCATATTTTATATATAAACCTTCCTCTTGAATCAGTCTCTCTATTGGTGAAAAACACATTAAAATCCGTTGCTTAGTTTAAATGATCTAAGTGTACAACACAAAAAAGCGACTTTATTTATACTATGTAAAGAAGTACGGAAGTATGGATGAGATTCATACCTGTTTTCATAGACGGTGTTAAAAATATGTAAACATAGCTTTATTTTATTTAGTTAGAAGTTAATGCTATTTTCTTTAGCGATAACTATTTTATCATGGACTATGTTACGGATGCTAATGGGCACTGAATGTTTTTCTTTCCATCTAGAACCCCTAATAACTACCTTCTTTTTATATAACATATTTTTGACTAGCTAATGCTAATCGAATTAGTGTATAGTATAACTGTGGGAGAACCATGCCAATACAAATGGGCCACATCAACCTGAGCTATCGCTCACAGAAAACCTATGTAAGCAATTCTTTTATTGCCTTAGCCCCAAAGCTTCCCCCAATGCTAGGGGTGGAGTTGACTATTGGTGACTCTCGAGTTGCAGGTGTTCATGGGCAGGGCCTGGGATTGTAGGCACTTGCCATCAGGTGACCTGCCTGCTTGTTTGCCCCTTTACCATAAAACAAAATGTGTAAATAGGAAATAGTAAACTTACTTTAATTCAGGCATTGCTGTGTCAAAGTCATGGAAAACTTCTGGCAGAGTGATTGCATTCATAGCTGCTTCTCTGTGCTCTTCTGGTAAATCTACCATACCAGGCCTGAAGGCCATCTGCAAGGAAACGATTTTATACATACATTAATCATAATAATTTTACACATCTCATACACGGCAGTCTGATCCAGAAGTTCCCCAACTAAGCACAGCTTGTGCTATGGTAACCAGACTGCTGATTAACATACTTATATATTTCTAAATACATACATATTACATACATATTTAGATAAACTACACCTAGACACAGAACAAATGACCATGCTCATCACACAATATTTTTCCTGGGTAGGATTTGAACCCACAACCTCGCAACACATTGCTGTTAGGGTCAGTAACGATTAGACCTACAGGCCCATCAACATTGAATTTAACTGAATGCTAAAACCCAAAGGACATCATTCACGCTCCATACAAAAAGTACCTAAAAAAAAAAGTGGCGGCCAACGAAAAAAAATGGTTTTATCGGTTAGAGAATGACATTCTAAGATTTTTTTCTTTAGACGGCTAAGAGCTAACACTGATTACTTTTGAGTTATATGACTTAGAAATAATAAAAAAATGCATTTATACGAGTTCATGGGAACAGCAGCCCACCGTTCTTTTGCCAACATTGCATGAGCAATAATAATACGGTATGGCATCACGTCAATGATGTGTCGATGATAATGTAAACATCTCTCTGTAAACTCTGGCTCGAACATGCCGAGATTGTACTCTTTCTCTTATAATTATTATGTTTTCTCCCAATTCTCTGACGTGTTCTGTTAAAAGTCTGTCGCCAAGCTCGACCGTAAAAACACCATTTGGATTGATGTGCTCGCCGTAATAACTTTTAGCTTGTTTATTTGATAAGTACCCAAACTAAATAATTTTAAATCCTCTTCTGAGAGCCTTGGAAAATCATCGAACTCGGGCATATCGGCGGACATCGGCTGAAATTGTGCTCGTCTTCTATTATAATTATGCCTTACAACTATATCAGGGGGCGTGTTAGGGATTGACATTCTATGGTTTATTATGGCCAAAAAGGATTGGGCATGAATATTGTCATTTATTAGTATATAGTATGCATTAATTATAGCAGCCGCTATCTTAAAACAATCAAACATGTGAGGAAGAGCACGCTTTATATTGACATGTCTCAAAAATCTAAAATCCCGTTTGAAACGCCCATTAACTACCTCCACAACCCACTGACAGAGTTACAAGGCGAGTTTTATTTGCTTGCATCGTTGTCAGCTGGGTTTCACTTCGGAGCTTGACTTCAGGCATATGTGCAGAATATCCCAGTGACTCCATTGGTAATATCGCCGATACTGCAGATTGTGTTGAACTACAATCTGACATAGACGCAGTCTACGAATGGAGTGTAAGAAATAAATTGTCCTTTAATACATCAAAATGTAAAACGATAACTTTCACTCGTTCTCGCACCCCAGTATCGGTGACGTATGCGCTAGCTGGCACAGCTCTCGTGCGTGTCAGCTTAATACGAGACTTAGGGTTAACTCTTGATCAAAAGCTAAACTGCCGCGACCATATAAGGCAAATATGTAAAGACGCTAATAAAGCTCTGGGGTTCATTATTAGGACTTGTTCTCAATTTAGCAACACACAGCCTATTAAATTGCTCTATAATGCCTACGTACGTAGTAGACTGGAATATAATTCAATAGTATGGAGCCCGCAAGAAAAAATATATACCCTTTCCATTGAAAGAATACAGCGTAAATTTGCCCAATACCTGTACAAGCGGGAGTATGGTTATTACCCTTTCTTGTTTCCTTCTATGTTTGTATCAGGCATGGTGGGCCTTGATACACTTGAGCTTAGGCGAAACTTTAACCATATTGTGCACTATTTGTTGCTAATTAACGATAGGGTAGACAATCCATCAGTGCGTGAATGCATTAATTTGTATGTACCAAATAATTACTTGCGCGGTTGTCGTCGCCACACCGACTCCTGACTTATCCTACAACGTGGCGTCTCCCACAAGCTGTTAGTAGCCCCACGGGAAAAGCTATCCAACTAATTAATGTTTTTTTGCAAAATAATGTGGATGCAGACATATTTTTTGACAGCTTACCCAAATTAATGCAAAATGTAATGATCTTTTTAAATACTCATAAATAACTGTTACCTATAATGTACTCTGTATAGCTATTAATATTTATTGACATCTTGTAAATTTTTATGACATCTTATTGCTTTAATTCTTTATTTCATGACATTTTATTGCATTGACTTCGGTGGCTATTTCTGTGTGATTGTATGAATTATTAATTATTTGTAATTTATATAAATAATTTAATGTATTGTATTGTATAATGATCTGTGGTCTGTATATCTGATCCAATGTAGTATAGCATATAAGTGTTTTGGTTGTGAGACTGTGAGCTTGTAATGTTACTTAAATAAAATAAATAAATATCTCTCTCAAAATAAATACATCACCTTGTCTAAAAAAAACCAATTAAAAACACCATCGCCGTTGTCAGTTTCATTAGGTTTCATTGTTTAGGTTTTTAATTATTCAGAAATAGTTAATTGATACATAAATGTAAATGCTCATTTTATGATTTTCGGAGATCCATTTTGGGTCTAAAAGTTGGTCGTAGACTTTGTTGTAATAATAAAAAATGTTTAAAAGATCATTTGCCGTAAGATGACAGTTTTTTTTTACTGGCCGGCACTTTAATTTTTGGGTACATTTTGAATGATGTCCTTTGTTCATTTGATTGCTAATGTTAAGATAGATTCTTTGTCCAACTTCCTAAAAAGTATTACTGTTTAACATACATAATTTTGGTGCAGTTGTATGTTTTAGATTCTTACCCAGAAGTTCCTAAACGTATAACCTTACACGAAAACAGTCCTATGTGTGTGTCCTAGAATTAGCAGTTGTTAACCAATCACAGTGCTAAATTTATACTGGTTAAACCAGATGGTCAGAATGTGACTCTTATTTTCTCACCTCTTGTGATCTATTTCTTAGCATTCCATGGATTCACCGTGCGGGTGCCGGGTCCATCGCGTGATAAACGGGGGCAACACATGCGATTTCGATAGTGCCTGGGAATTGCGACCCAGGTATAGATTTAGGGAGGACTCATATCCACTGTCTACTGTGTTACCCCCTCTACCTAACTACCTAAAAGAGCTAAACTTAAGAGACCGTTTAACACATTTTTTTTTTCATTTATAACATGTATTGTTTAGAAAAAATTTAGCTATGGCTGAGCTATAGATAGTATGCCACACTTTTTTTATATACCAAAAAAATATTTCCAATTTCAGATTTATTAGTTTGCAAGTGCCTTGTTTGGCACTTTTGTAAATAAACTATAATTAAAGTAAAAGTACATACAACCAACTCTTGATAATTCTAAATTTGAGGAACCTTTAAAATACATTGAATTACTAAGAGGTTTGTAATAATGAGATGTTTGTAATCAGGAGAAATGAAAAGTTTGAATTATTGAAGGCAGATAAGTCTACCTTTATTTAGTAATGTTTCGAATATATCAGTCAGACAACCTTCCCTTGCCGCAACATTCTAGATGAATAGATTATTTGCAAACTTTTTTGGCTTCTCTTTTACCATTTTTCCACTAATGAAAGTTTTGTTCCCCAACTGTCTAGAGTCAAAAAGCTAAAACTCTCTTCGAGACAAAGGAATTTTGTCTTTAGTCATTCATCACCTAACATTATTGTATGGTGTAGCACTGATTGTTTCCTATTTTTTCAAAACTCCTTTTTCACATCAGTTTTCTTAGCACCTATCGCCACAGATTCAATCATTTACTTCTACAAAATAGAGCAAGGACTTCTATTTTTTGAGTCTTATTTTGAATAAAAAACAAACCAAACTACAACACAGGAGAACTAATACTAATGTCATGTAAACTGCAATTTATGCATACAAGTTTCAACATGTTCATTTGAATTATCAAGTCAACTGTACCTATTAAATAACAAATATATCACACTGGTTACAATTCAAATATATCACAATAAAAAGAGTGTCTCAAACTGAAAAGCTATAAAGAGCTCAATTTAAGTAGGTATAACTATTATGCTTCAAATTCCCTGTTAGTAAAACATATTTATTACTTTTTAAGTAAAAAGCTTAAAAATTTATTAGATCTCAGAAATTTTGTTTTAGCATTTTTTGTAATGTATGAACATACAATTAATTTATTTAATATTTTGGCAATATTGTCTTTTTTTCAAAAAACATTGATAATATCAAAAAGCTAATAAATAATTACTACTAGACTAATATCTGTACATGATGTTAAAACATATGTTGTGACAGTTCACAACAGAAAAGTGTAACAAAAACAAAAATTTTCTTTTGGTTAAAATAAAATGATTGTAATTGGATTAATTGCTGACTTTTCATTTATTTTACTAAGATTATTTATTTATTTTTGCAGCTTTTGCCTTCAACTTCCATTGCATGAAAGTTATATTTCTACCCCTTAAGAGCAGTATATACTATTTTCTGAATAAAACATAACTTAAAGCATTGACTGCCATACCGGTCAAAATTGACCAGCAACAATTCATTTTATATTATGTCTTCTATATGGTGTTCAATGTGTAATACAAATGGCGCTTCTTAATAAGTATGCTTCGGTTTAATCATCTTGTACCTTTAAGTCATAGCTTAACAGTCCATTTTTTTTACAAATAGTATCTAAAGCTGTTAAATGGTGGCAGCAAGAATATAAGTAAATGGCAGAAAACTCTATTTATGTGTTAAAATGTTCATGTTCAAACAGACCCACATTCACAGAATAGGTACTGTTATATTTTGTTACAAGTACTTTATTTACAAACAAGGTTTTGACAACGAATTATCAGTTATATTAAACATACCTTGATTTTAACAAAAGCTTCATTGCAGTCCTGTAGCAAGTACTTTGCTTTCCTGGAATAAATTCTGACGACTCCAAGCAACAGATGGCCAGAAGTACGCAATGCCATCTTCACTTTAGGCTTCAATATACCATCAACGGACTTCTCGATGTTTGTCTCAAATACATGGGCTTTTGTCAACTTTTTGTCCCAGTGAGCAGCCAGCCAAATCTTGGCCAAAGGGCCCTTCTTGGCCAGCACGAAATGTCCGTAAAACATCGTGATAGTTTACTACTTCCGGCTTGAACTCACATCAACGTTTAACTGAAATGTTAATCTTTTAATGCAACTATCTAACATAAACTAATAGAAGTGAAAACAACAAAAGAACACTAAAAGCGCCATGGTATATTTTATTACATTAAATTGGTAACGACTAATGAGAGCGATTTGGCGCCTAATCACAGAAAACTCGTTTAAAGGTTGTTCATAATAGCTGACAACATTCAAAATGAATGTGTATGTTCATTAAAACTTTCGTTTATGTTTACTGCAGTAACTTCATAGAATTACCAGATTAATACACCCAAAATTATAAATTTCACCTTTCACACACAACGTAAACATGACAACAATTACGCTTTCAAGATGGCGGCGTAATATTACGACGAACCGTTGTTTTCGTTTAGAAATGTACGGATGTTTTTTTTTTAATTTTCTATCGACTATAACGGAGCACCACAGTTCAATGAAAGACTAACTTTCATTTTTTTCATGGTGGCCTGAATTTTAGTCAAGTTCTTAATAAAGTGTTGATTTTGATGTATGATGTGTATGAAGATTCTCATGTAATCAAAAACATTGTAAAAGAAACATTTTGTTTCAATATTAATAAAGATTGGTAGTAAATTAAAAAAGTTTAAACTTTTCTTACTCTATTCTGTTTTCCTGTATTGTTCTGTATAACCATAACTGTTTACAAAGAGTATTCTGATTTTATATAATTTGAAGTTGATTCCCTTTATACTTGAAAAAAATACCCAAAATTAATCATTATTTTATCTTTATCCACTAAGTTTTCATTTACTGAGCCTATTTGAGCATAAGAAAGCCAGTCGAAGTCTCAATGATTTACCCTTACAGTAGTTATACCTTGTGTTTGGAGTTGTTTGTTTAATTAAAATAAATTAAACCTTTTTGTGTGTGTGTGTGGTTGCTTTCGCCAATAACTCCGCTTATCTTTACAAACTTAGGATCAAAATTTCGTAAGAATAAAGAGATTTATAGTCTCAGGAAAATAAACAGAAAGAGGACAAAAGGTGTGTATAACGTGTTCAATTCCCTAAAAAAGAGAGGCATTATTAAGTAGTAGGCCAAAACCTCCTTTCCAAGGAGAGGCCTATGTCCAGCCGTGGACTATTAAAGGCTGTTGATGATGACGATGATGATGATTATTAAAGCAAATACATGTTAGAGGTAAGTGCATATTATAAACACTTAGAGCCTATATAGTAACATAATATAAATGTAAATGAGTGGGAAATTGACAAATGTTAGGAAAGAGTCCAAGTTGGTAAGATGGGGATACAATCTGTTCGAAGAAAGTCATATCCCTATTAGACATTTTTCCCACAGACTGTATCCCTCTGATGAATCCACCATCCGCACTCACAGAGGGAGCACTCCCTAATCCGGACCTGTTCCAGAAAAACATTTGTACAAGCATGACTTAATCGAAGTCCGCAAATAACAGAGGTCGATCTCTTAGAGGCTATACGGAATTTGATACACCAGGGCTTAGTTGGTCACCTTGAATGGAGGCACAATGTCTTCCCTTAGTTGTGCCGGACTGAGACCAGTGCACACTATATTGTGTGCGGGTGATCCTGAGAGAAGGTTCTGTATTTGTTTCGCGATCCACTAGTAGAAGGAGCACTGGCTAGAGAATTAGCCATTTCGTTACCAAAGATTCTACTAGACCAGAAATCCTCTTTAGGGACACCTAAGATTTATTTCGAAGATTAGGGGAAATCTGGTTTTACAGGTAAACATCATTATCATCTGTGAATATTACTGAGTTGCCGAAGTTGTGTGACTCTACATAATAAAGCCTCCAGAATGGCAACCGATTCACTAGTAAAAATACAGGTTATATTGAGAGATTTATTTATCAAAGTTATCTTGTACCGGAGAATCCAAACCCCAGATCCAATACAGGAGGTATCTGACAACTTTGAAGAGTCTGAATATATAACTATAAAATCTTGCCGTTTTGTAGAAAATAGAAAAAAATGCCAGTAACATCGTTTCGCCACGGCCCCGAATTCTTTTAACAATGTTTCATTTTATCAAATTTCTTTTATTTCTGTTAAATACCTATGAATGTTATTTTTCGTTTATGGCAAAAATTGCAAAAATTTCGTATTCCACCCACAAAGAAATACGTCACTATAACAGTAAATCTAGTATTATTTTATTATTATTTAGGGAATGGTAGCGTTATAAAAAAAATACTAGATTTACAGTCAAATAGGCGAAATAGGGTCTTTATGCATCGTCTGAATACAGCTTATTGGCAACAACGCGTGAGTAAGTAGTAACCCTAACCAACGTACGAAAAAATCGAATGATAATCACCGTTCTTTCACAATTCACTAATTTTGTCCCATGCATACACCTTAACGTTGACTCATGTACTTCATTCATTTATTCATTCATACATTCAGTTATTTGCGGCAACACTGCACATCAGAACAACAGTTTTCTTTTCCGGTTTGCCTGTGGATTACGCGAGACGTACGTGAAAATTTAATCCTAAAATATTTATTCTATCTTCAAAGTTTTAACTCCTTTGCCTTCAATAATTGTTACATTAATGTTCATTGAATCATAATATTGGTGTATTTATGATCCGATTCTAATATTTCAGTGATTTAAGGAATGGTTAACACGATGGGTGAAGACTTACTCGATTTGTGGCCAGACCGATGATGTGACTTCTGATCAATTGCAATTGATTTTGTTGCTAGGTCTGCCACAGGCGCTTTCCAAGATGGGTGCGTACAGATATATTCAGGAGTTATACAGAAAAAAGCTAAGCGATGTAATGCGGTTCCTCTTGCGTATTAGAGTATGGCAGTACCGTCAATTGACTCGCATGCATCGTGCCCCTAGGCCTACAAGGCCCGACAAGGCGCGAAGATTAGGATACAGGGCTAAGCAAGGTAAGTCTCGATATCGTGGAGCTTTACACGTGGTACTCATAGAATTATAACTTAATTAACTTTGTTTTGTAGGCTTTGTAGTCTTCAGGATTCGAGTGCGTCGTGGTGGCCGCAAACGCCCAGTGCCCAAGGGTGCCACTTATGGTAAGCCCAAGAGCCAGGGTGTCAACCAGCTGAAGCCTACACGCAATCTGCAGTCTATTGCTGAGGTTAGTTGTTTGCATATACGTTAACACACAAACTGAAACTAAGCTGAAGTATCTTTTACAATACAAGAAGCTCACCTAAAGCAAAATATTAATAAATTCTTTTCAAAGTCCTTAGATATCATATTTTTTAAATCTTGTTTTGATATTCATTGTCTGTTTGTTTTAGGAACGTGTTGGTCGTCGTTGTGGCGGTCTCCGTGTACTCAACTCTTACTGGGTGGCACAAGACTCTTCTTACAAATACTTTGAAGTCATTTTGATTGACCCCTCACACAAGGTAAGGAATTATTTCTGGAATTCTATTAACTGTTGAGAAGTTGCATTTTCATTTTGTATTTGACCTCTTTTCTTATTAACACCTTTTTCAATGATGAATTCTATGTCATGCACCAATCTGAAAGGTTTTGCTGAATCTTCACCTACCATTTAATCTGAGCATCAATTAGCAAAAAAAGATTAATTATAAAATTCTTCACTGTTTTTAAAAGCATGTGTATTTCTTTCTAGGCTATCCGCCGAGACCCTAAAATCAACTGGATCGTGAATGCTGTACATAAGCATCGTGAGATGCGTGGTCTGACATCTGCCGGCCGTAGCTCACGTGGTCTTGGCAAGGGTCACCGTTTCTCACAAACCAAGGGAGGCTCACGTCGCGCTGCTTGGATCCGTCGCAACACACTACAGCTACATCGCAAACGATAATTGTATTGCATGTCATTGACTTTCTATTTTTTTTAAATTATGTAGAAAGCCAGTGCCAAATAAATATAATAATTACAATATTGTTAATAATTTATATATTAATACCTTTTAATCCACCTGTAAATTCTGTAAGTATGCATTTAGAAAAGATTTTTTATGTTAAGTACTTTTGAATTTTATGTTTAGTGTACTAATGAATTGTGTTTATTCTGCAGATACAAGATAACACTGTTGAAAAGTCTAATTCTGAACAGGTAATTATTATTAACTTTAATAATTATTAATTTAACAATCTTCTATAAACTATCAGAAATTATAAAACCCTTAAACAAATATTTAATATAATAAATTAGCATGTTGAATAGTTACAATTAGTGTTCTTTTAAATATAAAAATCGGATCATTATTATTTTTATTATGTTAAGCAAAATTACCTGGGCATTTCATGTCTTACTTCGTGAAGTATCCTTTAGCATAACTTGGGTGCAACTGGTTAGCCCTACTACTGCTGAAGACGGGAAGCGATAGATAATATAACTTGATAAGTTCAGAAGTGCGCTTCAGCATAGATTAGTTGATAGTTTTTTTTAATGCTGATCTAACATCTTAGACATATATTATGATAGAAGTAACTTATTAATGTTATGAAAACATATTTATGATGATACAATGCTTTATGAAATGCGCAACCCTGATTACGATGCATTTAAAACTTCCTTGGATGGCTGATAATTATAAATGCGTAGGCAACAAGTCTATAGAGATGGAATGTAATTACAAATAAATCTTTCTTTTTTTTAGTGTCACTCCAGCTTCACTGCAACTCCAATTTTATTATATCACATGGTAGGTATTTCTTAGATGTCTTAATTTAAGTAGTATTTATTATCTTGAGTACCTATATTTCATGTAACCAAATTAGCCTATTGATTGCTTGTTAAAGATTTTAGTGTTAATGAGAATGCAAATTTGGTAAAATTAACTTCTTGTCTAGGTGAGGATACTGTAAATAAGTTTTCTTTAGACCTCAATCCGACAAGATACAACATAAGTTTTATTACAAATCATGATAACATGAGTGAGTGGAGATATTGACCTGATATTTCTTGTTTTGCAGATATCGGTACCAGATAGCGCATACCTCCGCATCCTCCACCATCCACTATGTGAATACCTAAATCTAAGTTTTTTTATTAAGTTAAACATTATTTGTATAAAACATAAATAAATACCATAATACTACATACAGTTGTATCTATTTTTGGAAACCCTTTGAAAATACATCGTATTTCAAGGAAATAAGAATAGGGAATATGCATGTATTTTTTTTATTTTTTTAAACGATTCTACTCGTTATTACATTACCAAAAATAAATATAACACATCCGAAATATAAACCGTTAAGCAAAAAAAAAATTATTAATATCACCATCATTTTGGGGCGATTTGAACACGTCCATTTTGGCGCGCTTTTTTTGTGACGTCAGACTACACTTTCAGACGAATTCGATGTCAACAACGGAGTGAAGTTAAAAAAGTGAGTGATAAAAATTAACTTATTACCATGGAAAAGCCAATAAAAACTTATTATAAATATTGTGCCGTTCCTTTGTGCCAAAATAATATCAAAACTGCACCTGACAAAGTATATTCAGTCATTGTGTTGAGTCTTTCTACACGGGAATTTAATAATTTAACACTAAAAACGTATTAGTTATTAACTTAAAATGAAACAAATAATCACCAGAAACGAAATATTTCAAATACACACAACTTGTTGACACTCTTGACAGTGTAGGTTGACGTCACGTTTTATTCAACCAATAGCGTTGCGTTTTAGAAATTTGCGAGGGAACCTTAAAAAAGCCAATTTTTGATGATTAAATTTCACTATTAAATTATAATAAATTTCAAAAATAATTGTATGGGTATCTTCTTTTAGCAATAACACTTACAAATAAAAATATTTTGTCCATTTTGGTGTCACGTGCATATTCCCTATTGTTGAGCTGTTGCACTAGTCCCTCCTGGTGAGGACAAGTAGAAGTTTTTCCACTCTGCCATCGTCACTCGTTGATATAAGTGGATTTCATCTCTACATCCCTACTACCAATAAAATCTTAACACATTGTTATAGTATCAATTGAAATAGCTTTTCATAATTTTCGAATTCATGCCTTTTTGATATATTATTTGTAGCTGGTGCATAGGTCTAATAGGTATTCCTAAATTGACTGGATAAGCGTCACTGACCTTTTTTTTTTGTGTGTGCTGAAATCCCGTGTGCGTTTGGATGTATCAAACATTGTAAATGGTATCAAAAATTAGTGTATGACGTGAGGTAATTGTGTATGTTAATTCGTTAATTATTGAGTGTAAATAAATTAAATTTTTCATGTGAATAGTTGAATTAATGCACTAATTATTAGAATAGGTTTTATTACGCATTTCCTTTAGAATCTAGTACAGTAAGACTGCATATGAAACAGTGTTCCACTCATGGTAAATTATCCCATAGCTCATTAATTACTATTGGTGTAATACTCGTATAATTTTATAAACCTGATAAACTGTCGGCAGGCAGAATTATATAATGTATGATTTCAAGGACCCTTTACTGTAGTTTTTTATTTCGATAGATGTGGGGATTCTGATGGTTTATAGTTTTTTGTATTGAAGTTAGATATTAAGTTGATTTAGGTTAGGATGATCATAATAAAATGTGGTACAGATATAGATTAGATAGGCACTAAACCGATCGACGTCGCGAAGTTGTTAAGTGGGCGGTTAATTATACCTGCTGTATGTAGATATGTAAAGAAAATTCCCCCTTCTTCTACCCTTTCCGCCATGAACCTACATCCGTCTTAGTTATGTACCACAGGCAGCAAATACGCCCATCAACATGTTCTACGTCACTATCACCTGTGAGATTTAATGATGTTTATGAACATTAATGAGGAGAGAAGGAAGAGTTAAGTGCTGGATTTAACAACGTAACCGTACATCACATTTAGTGCACGAGCGTAATTCTTCTAAGACGTAGAAAGGTGGCCGTCCGGCGTAATATTGTAGAGGTTCAGCAATAGTATAAAGAAACCTTCGGGCTAGAATTAATTTTAATAATTGTATGTGGTTATAGACACTTTGATTACATATAATATTATATAGATACTTATATTACAGTCATCTTGGGTAACTTTGAACACTTTTGTAGATTTTTTATACAATCATAATTATTTTTATTTGAACGTTATATTATTTTATATCATGTTGAATGTTCAAATATACTTGTCTATGGATTGCCAAGGTTTTTATAAAGATTTATTGGATAGTTCATTAGTAATTTGCAAAAATGTAGTGATTCAATGTTACCACGAACTTTGGGTAACATTGAATGATGTTTTCCACATCATACAAATTCTTATACTGTGTCCTTAATTTGATTATTTGGGTAACTTTGAGGGTATATTTTAATTAACAAAATAAAATCTGATATTGGTGACAGTTTTCGTTCAAAAACTAACTATATATTAGGTAGCCACCATAAGTGATTCATAATTTGCAGTGTAAAGGATAGCCAAAAAAAATATTTTCACATGTTTGTATTAATTGAATTAGCAAGATATTAGTAAATAAAAAGCAAGCATCAAATTATTTATTTATTTAGCTTTAAAATGAGATCAAATTCAAATAAGTCTGAAAAAAAATGTCATACAAAAATTTCAAATCCAAAATCCTACTCTCCCCATTCCATAAACAAAATGTCGTCATTAATTTTAAATTTACTGCCACTTCTAATAATCTGGTCATCATTCAACATATGTATAATTTCTTTTTTATCTATTTGATGAATATAAATTTTTGATGGCCATGTCCAACCCCCAGAAATTTTTTTTTGTGGGAGACTGAGAGTAATTTGGCAATCAGTAATCTTGGTAATGCGACCTGGAAACAAACTGCCTTCGACGTTGAATACACAATAAGAACCCTCCAATGGCTGGTTGTCATTTTGGTTGCTAGTTTGGTTTGCTGCTTTTATCAATGTGTCATCTAAATGAACTATAAAGTCCTCCACTACATCTGGTGATGAATGAGGTTCTATAGTGATCTCATCGCCCAGTTCCAAGAAGTGATCTTCGGTTAGTGGGTATTCCTCCACGGTTTCTGTTATTACTGGTGCATGCAACTTATTTATATCATGGCTTTTTTCTGTATCTAAATTTATGGAAATATCTTCTTGGTTTTTAGACTCTTTTATTCTTGATTCATATTGATGTATCTCAGCACAGACAACTTGATCCCGTCTTTCAGTTTTCTGTAGCTCACTCTCAATACCATTATTAGCAGAGTCAACATTCTGTGCACTATTTGAAGCTTCTTGTTCTGATACTTTAGCTTTTTTGTTAACTTTTCCTTTATTTGTAGATCCCTTAGGCCTGCCTCTTTTTTTGCCCTCAGTCACTGGTTTTCCTTTATTTTCTTTTTCTCTATTTTTCTGATACTCTTCCACTTCTTCGGCTGAAACGCTTTTTCCTGCTGTCACAGGCAACTGAAATTTTCTTGCTTTCCCTACTACATTTAGATCAGATTGCCTGACTTCTTCTATAAAGTTAACAAAACTTTCGGCTACTGATTCTCGTACTTCTGTTTGAGATGTATATGTAGGCAGTTTGCTTAAAACGGTTTGTGGAGAAAAAGGGTACAACCCACAGCTCCTAAAACCTGCTTTCATGTTTTCAGCTGAAGTGACTTTGATATTTTCCAAAGTAATTTTTATAAGCTGTGCAAACAGAGACTTTGGCAAAGCTAATACTTTTTTCCCTCTACTTGTATTACGATAGCTATCTAACACTTTACGCCATGCAGTTTTAAGGGGAGAAAAATAGCCCACATCCAGAGGTTGTAGTAAATGAGTAGAGTTAGGAATCAGGCATATAAAAGCTACATTATGAGCTTCACACAAACGCAATGCTTTCGGAGAAATATGTGCACTCAAGTTATCGCAGAGCAATATTTTTTTACCGTCATCCTTGTCAACGTAAGGCAAAAAGTGGTTTTCCAGCCAATCCTCGAAAATTGATTGATCAATCCATCCCGATTGTGAAACTGACATTCTGGAACCAGATGGAGCTTGAAATAACCAGTCCGACCATAACTTTTTGCCTTTGAAAACAAAAAATGGTGGCATCATATCACCATTGGCATTGCCGCAAAATATGACAGTGTAGCAGGATTTAGATGAGTTTTTAACTATCTCAGGATTGCGACAATCCCTATGAAATAATAGCTTCTTCTGACCTGGATCGTCGTGAAAACCTGTTTCGTCCATATTATAAATATTGTTAGGTGCAACTCCTTCTATTTCTTCTTTAATATTGCAAAAAAACTCGTCAATTTGTTCTCGATTTACTTGGGCTCTCTTTCTAGGAATTTTATGTCCTACTTTTTCTTTTATCTCAGGATGTCTCTCTAAAAATAATGTACCCCATTCATAGCCCGGCCCATGTTATCCTTAAATTGAGGTACAATTTTGTTGTTCTTTGTCAAATAATTACGTACAATTACTCGAAAATCTAACATACTGCAAGGAATACCCAAATCGGCCATCATGAGAAGATGTGAAACAAAAGTGTTTTCTTCTTCATCAGTAAATATTTTAGGTCTACCCATATTCTTATCATGCTTTTCTTTTAATTTATAAAATAATGTCACAGGGGGTATTTTATATAATTTGGCTGCACCTACTCGCGATATGGCTCCTGATTTTATTTTTTCAATAGCTTCTTGAAGAATCTCAGGCGTGTAATTACTTTTCTTTCCATATTTCCTCACACCAGGCTTTACTTTTTCAGATTTTCTCGGCATTTTTCACCCTAAAAAAGAAATTCACCTTTATTCAAAGTTACCCTAACAAAAAAGTTTAAGTTTCGGGTAACATTGAACGATTCAAAGTTACCCAATATTCATATATTTTGAAAGCACATTAGAAATTACGATTTCAATTCAAAAACCTAAAGTTAAAGTCACATCTTTTATAATAAAATTGAAGGCGAAAACATAAACAACAAGAAAAGTCAAAATCTCACCTGTTTTAAACAGCTTTCCTAATTATTTTTTACAAATTTATCTCTGCAACGTACACCCGATAAAAAGCGTATTCAGAAAGGGCGGCTAAAATTTAAGTTTTATTTTGACAGATATCACTTTTTTTTTTTAAGTTGCTTCCTTAATATTATGTCGTTCCGTTTCACTTAATAATTTGGATATCTTTCAACATTTTTGCCAAGAAAAAAATAAGTGATGTACGCGAAAGGTTTTATTCAAAGTTGGACTTAAATTCAAAGTTACCCAAGATGACTGTACATAATACATTAAAAATACCCAAGACACACATCTTGGATTCGAAATTTATCATATTCTACTAGTCAAGCTCTTTCATTTGATACCTATATTGAGGAGTTTTGAAAAAATATATAATCCGCCATTTTTTGGAGGCGACCGGCGATCGATTTTCGTCAAACATAGCTAAGAACACTCCCAACTAATTCAGCTTTCAAACAAAAAAAAATCTAAATCGGTTTATCCGTTCGGGAGCTACGATTCCAGAGACAAACACAGACAGGTCAAACTTAAAACACCCCTTCGCTTTTGCGTCGGGGGTTAAAATAGATGTAGTGATTGTTTTTAGATTCGCCAGACACATTCACCTTCCAAAAAGACGCCCAGAAATTGTTTTGGACTATAGGATTGTATAACTATATTAAATGTCTGAAGTAAAAGTCAATAGAAAGTCAATTTAAATTTACTTTTAATACGTCTATGTCCTTAAAAGTAAATAACAATAAAAATATTTACTAGCGTAGAAAACGATTAGGTACCCAAATATACGATAACTTGAATTTCGTAAGTTTTAACCAATAAAAAATGGGTTTTAATGGACAAAAATATATAAGTATCTGATATCCGACACGTTAATATTACATAAACATGACAATGGTTCAAATAAAAACATATTGGTACTTACGCTTAAATAAATATAAACATTTATACACCTATTACCACTATTTACAATTTTTGAGACCATGTGAAATTATGTTTACTATACACAGTAGCTTTTGAGTAAATCCAAATTATTCAATGAAGTGCATATGTGTCTAGAATACAATCACAGAACAATATAATTTTTAAGTTATTCGCTTTTTCATATTAGAAGATTAAAATCAGGCAGTTGAATTTTATAAGAAATTATAAAAACAACATCTTCAGAAGTACATATTTGGTGAAGGTATCTTTGGACGGTGCAATTATACAAAAAAGGGACTAGGTCTCATTATTTATAGATTAATGTCTTTGTGCTAAATATTGAAGTTAATATATCCGTATTAGCAATAAAATGTACAAATTAGTAAAAGAGATTAACTGTTTACATCGTATCTAAAGGATATTTAGGTTGTATTTAATATTGTATGTCGCATTACAATAGACATAATTAATATAACGAGACACTAAGCTGTAGACGTCTACCGAAGTCGCAACACATGGATATATAACAAACATTGCAATAAATTAAATGAATGATACACAAGACTATTTTCTTTTAGCATATATCGTAGTAAGATACATCCGTAGTATAATTATATAATATCCCTAGGAATATAACTATATCCCGGTTATTACAATCTTACTGCGCCACATTATGACATACTTTTATAATCCATTTATTAATGGTAAAAAATGACATATAAATTTGATAGTGCATACATTTTATATGATGTTAGATCTCACTCCCATAAATGAAAAGCGTTTATATTCATAGACATTAACATAGCGTTTTTTTTCACATTCAGACTTTATGTATTACATTTATTACACATTTTGGTGATTATTTTAACATTCCTGTATGTTGTGCCATGTAATTCTGAACAAAGTATGTACAAAAATTATATACGTTAGGAGCTTATATTTGTATTTATTGAATTAGTCATAGTGAGAGAATTTGCTCCATTATGGGGGGGGGGGGGGGTATTAGTATTGGCACAATCAAAGTTGTTAGTTGTACACCTAATGTAAATAACGGGCTGGGAATAATAAATAATAACGATGTTAAAACTGCCTCCTTTGTTTGTACGAAAAACTTTGCATTTAGTTATGTTTTGTATGTACCAAATAAAAGTAAAGATACATTAGAAAATGTTAATAACCTCCCTACTACTTGGTTATCTAACAAATCCATAATACTATTATTTCCTATTTTTGAGAAAGTTTAACAACTTCAAAACACCAATTTACTACTAACCGATTCTAAATTAATAGCTTATTTAAATATTATTCTATTTAATTCGATCCCGTGGTGGCTAAGAGGTGAAACACACTACTGTAAGTGTAAAAACATAAACAATTACATACATTTGTTTTATTACTTCTTGCGTTACTTCTTCACAAGTTTTTATCACTGAATCAATTTACTGGAACCACCTCATTGAACCACAAATGATAAATAAAGGTTATTTCTAAACATAGTAAATATTACATTATGTTAGGCAGATTTCTTGTGTTAGTAAAAATTTTTGATCAGAATTACATGGTATTTATATACACAGTTGCTTTACTAAAGCCAATTATTGTTATAATGATTTAAACATGGTTTTATTACAGAAAGTTTAAAGCCACTTAAAAAGCTGGTGTCGGTTTTTTAATTGTCTTAATATTGTAACGCTGCACTATGACCTATTCTATTTGTCATATATCCTTGTTTTTCTTTTAATAAAACTATAATATAAGTGCCCGGTATGAATTTCAAAGGATAGTACAATAATGCTACCTGCATACAGTTGCTGTTGCTTCCTAGCTTTATGTAGCATGGCAACGTGGTTCAGTGAGATATAGCTTTAAATTCAGTAAAGACCAAAGGCACTTTTAAAGGATTTGGCTATAGCTATTATGGCAGTCGCCTTATTCGATTTAGATTTCTGATAACATCGGTATATGGTGATTACAATATACAGCCATATTGACAAAAAACAATAAACGAACTATCTTTTCTCTAACATTTTAAAATTTATTTTCTTTTGCTTTTTTGTTTACTTTGGTTTCGTTTTGATAAGTTATTGTTAGTTGGTATTTAATAACTATTTAGTCGATTGAGATTACTTCATCATGCCATGCTACTATTTGTTAAAATACAAACAATCACAAACTCTACCAAACACAGAACAAAAGGCGGCAAATAACAACTTGTGGTTGCCTACTATCTATTTCTTTGTAGGCAAGTCGTGAAATCAATATACACAGTATTTTTAGGACTAGTGGTTAAAAAAGTACAGTTAAATTTAATCTATTGAATATACTCGAAAACTGTATTAGAAACCTTCTTTTAGTAAATGTAGGACTTAAAATATCTGTTCATTAACCCTATAACACGAACCGGCTTCTCAAATACGTTCAACCAAAGAGCTTATTCAACCATTACAGATTAATGCAAAAAAACTTTTCCAAAAGCACATTATTATCTAGAGCAGATTATCATTTCAGACTTAGTAACTCTGTAGTCACATTGAACTATGATAAAAAGTACAAACCGCTACGAAGTTTGAATGGATATCTCAGTAGAAGTGATTACATGACGTTACGACTTGCCAATATATGCCATAAGTGTAAGTAGTAGAGGCGCTAATGCTCGGGCACGGCCGCCGCGCGCCGGTCCAGCTGGAACGTGTCGGACAGGTACAGCGCGAATATCGCCACGCTGTAGAACACCGTCAGGCCCAGCAGGGCCACGCTTGCGCTTGCCGTGAACATGTTCGAATATTCACACCTGGAAATAATCAGGGTTACTTGGTACTTAAATAAAGCAATATCTTTTTAATATAGTATGTTATAACTTTCTCTAGTTGTGAAAACTTTCTTACTAAAAATACTTTATACAAATTAATGTTAGGTATGAGCTTAAACTTTAATAAAATTTAATGTGGGGTGCCATGCTCAAGGGGAGTGATACCACGGCCTCGTATATTGATAAGTTAAGCAACTTTTAAGTTGCTTTTCACCGAATGAGTGTTCCAGTCACTTACTATCAGAGGGCTTAGTGTGAGTTCATTTCACAACAACTCGCTTTCGACGGAGAGTGCGTTTAGCGTTGTGATTGGTGAAGATTTCAGTGCTGAAGATCAAGTAGAAATGAAATAAACTTACACTAGGCTCTCAGGTGACCCATCTGCTCGTTTGCCCCCTACACCATAAAAATAAACTTGAACCTAGAATCAATAGATGGGTACAGAGGCCGAGTGAAGAATATCACAATAGCAAAATTTTGTATAACTGACTGCAAATATTTATATATTATAAATATGTATTTTAATGAAAAATCGAATTTACCTTATACAGATAAAGATCAGATTAGATACAAGTATTTTTCAAAAAATAGTTAACAATTCGAAAAAATGAGGAAGGAAGTGATATTTTTTTAGAAATTACTAAAAATAGGAACGTAATAGCATACGCTCACTAACATAACACAAGCTAATAATTACCAAAACGGAACGTACCATGCTCGTGGTACGTAATTCACACGTACGTTCGTGAGAGTGAAAAGGACAGGTTCGCAAGCTACGCATCACAAAATACCAAACAACTTTTAGTATAGTGCCATTATTACAGTTTTAAAATTAGACATATAACAACAATTAATACTTAATTAAATCTATAAGTATAACTACTTATATTATTATAAACTATATAATGGTATGCTAAATTTAAAGTAGGTATCTTTTTTATAAATATTCTTTCGCCACTTTTTAGATAAAACATCTGCCAAGCCTCGAAAGTGTGGATACAACTTGAACTTTAGATGTCTGAGATTCCTGCAAGTACTAAATTATTTCTTTAGCTAGACCAAAAGAGGTCATTTTATAGCTATAATATTCAATGAAAACAATGTGTGTGTTTTAATTAATTTTCATCAGTGAAAATCGGCTAATCAAATACAACATAATCATAAAATTGACATGTAACGGACATTTATATTGATTGAGTAACCAGGTGTTAACGGTGCCAATAATTTCTGACATAAGGGATTGTTACTATGTTTACGCATGTTGTATATTGCTTGTTTTACCCGTGTGCCCTTTTGGCGTTAAACAGATGGGGTGGATATTATTTTTTCACGTCGAAGATTTGGCTATTTATGAATATATAAATTCCTGTCTACTTATCTATTGGGCTATTTATATGTTCTTCAATAGTGATATTAACCACTTTATAGACTTAGGGCTTTATGTCTGTATGCACATGTTTTTGTATTTACTTTTATGATTGAAGATCTAGAATACAATAATAAGTATGTAGGTATATAAAATGCTAGACTGATATTACGGACTATGACGTAAGTCTTAAAAATTGAGGAAAATTGGTGATTTTAATCTCTTATCTTGAGACTGAACAAGTCCGCAATTTACTTTATACAGATAAAATGAGGTATTTAATAGATTTATGGATTATATTTAATTGATTGAATTTATTGTCTGTGTGTGTTGTGGGTTCGATTTAATCGTGAAGAAAAAAGTTGACCCCACGGCGCAGGATTCATTAACAGTTTTGGAGTCAACTTAAAAAAAGAAATAGAAGTGACTGTACGAGTACAGATATTTAATTATGGTATTCTACTAGTAATTTCTGTGTAGGCAAGTTGCGAAATCAACATACATAGCATTTATTAGACTACTCGTTAGAAAAGTATGGGTAAATTTAAATTAATTGGTGATACTCGAAAACGGATTTAGAAACCTTTTGGTATAAATATAAGCAATAAAAAGCCTGTATCACCTTATACCACGAACCAGAACCTCTTCTGTTAACCAAAGAGGTTATTCCACCATCAAAATATTTCAGCACATTCACACATCTCACACACGACAGTCTGATCCCAAACTAGTCAGAGCCTGGACTATGGTAACCAGCTTGCTGATAAACATACTTATATATTTCTAAATACATACATGTTATAGATAAATTACACCCAGACACAGAACAAATGATTAAGCTCATCACAGAATATTTGTCCTGGGTGGGAATCGAACCCACGACCTCCGGCTTACCAGTCAGGGTCACTAGCACTAGACTTGATAATTTACTTAATACTAAATCATTTATTGCGTTCCATAATGTACATATGAGCGAGTTACCTGAAGAACCAGACGACGGTGAGCGCGACGGACACGAGGGTCATGAGTATGTTCTCGAGGTCCCAGGCGCGGTCGCGCGGCGCTCGCTCCGTGATCACTTCGTGTGTCGCGGTCACTTCGCTCTCTTCAATTGTACCGTGTTGCTACAGTAAGATATTACACACATTTTTAAAAGTGCCTCAATTAGATTCTATAGTGCTAATAAACCATTACATTTTTATTCAAACGATAAGTGAGATAAAATTGCATTTAACTTTACATTGAAAATTTCAAGAGTAATTTGACGAAAAAAACTAGACGCAGTGTATGAAATAATGCTAGGAAGTGATGACGTCAGCTGGCTGTGTAAACAAATGCGATCAGTAGCACTGGTTCAGTAGACAGTAAGCACTGGTTCTTTTTATTTTATACAGCTTTTACTTTATGACGGCGAGGCGAGGCAAGACGACCTCTATTTCATGATGTTAAAAAACAGATTAGAAAACTAAAAACTTTAAATTGAGTTTTAAAATTTATTTTGTTATTTTATGAACTGAAGCTAACATTCTTCGATTTTTTAGCCTAAGCTATCTCAATAATATTATAATTTATATTTGTTATTATATTTTCTTTGTTAAAGGGGGATGACCATTTACGGTATCGTTCTCGTATTAGTTGTGCCTTAAGTTTAAGATTTTGAAAATTTCTGTTTAATTTTTCTAAGATTGAATCTGTTAATTAAAAATCCGTACTTCGCCGAGCAAAGTCAGAGCATCAATACATTCTAGGTAGTTTTTCTTCAGTTTTCTTTTGTTACAATATTGTAGGAAATTAGTACGAGTATATTTTAGAGTTAATTGTGCAGAACTGTATCGATTGATTTTACTGCATAAGTATCGATATTTATATCTAATTTTTGAATTTCTGTGTATTTGCCAGGTCCTAATCAAATCATCATTTACAATAAATGTTTAAATTATACTAAAATTACTTTGTGAGGGAACTAAATAATTTGACATTTGACTTAACATCACACCGTGTTGTTGCTTGTTTATATCGTAACTAAGACTATGTGTGGAATACCTACATATTTTACTTTAAAAGGTGATTGTGAGATACGATTTTACTCCCGTAAAATGGAAATATTTGTTCCTCAATGTGTTTTCTGTGCACTTGGACTGCGGCATCAATGTTAACAGTCATTGTTAGACGTAAATGATGTGTGTAGTTGAATTATTTATGACAAATAGAAGGAAAAACATAGTTCTGTTTAGGGTAATTATGCTTAAAATTGGTTGTTTTTCAGATTTTACATGGACAAACACACTTTGTTCTTAGTGTTTATAATCGAAAATATGTTGTTTGACTTTTGAACCAACGAGTTCCCACGAAATGCGAATATTTATGTAATATATGTATGTTTAGTTTTCCTAAATGTACCTATTCATTCATGTCATCATATTATAACAGTGATTTTTATCTTGACACAAAGATCTTTATAGCGATACTAAGTGCCATAGTCGCTTGAATAATCCCCTTTGTCTCAGCTAACTTTATGAACTCTTATATTGTGTAATAATTAAGGGACCGAGAAGAAAACTTCTGTTCCACAAGGATACCTGCATTAATTGATGAAATCGTAACAAATCTAAAACACTCAGTCTATAAAAAAAAGTTAGGAGGTAGGTACCCATACCTGGCTATTATTATTCCTCTTGGGGTGCACGAGACAGTGTACGACAGCCCTGTCGTGCAGGCCGCACGCTCGCAAGGTCGCTGCATCGTCGATCAACACGCGTCCGTTAAATATAAGCCGAACGCGACACTCTGCTGTTAGTTCGGTAGAAAAGTGGCGCCTGCAATACAAATAATAAAACAAATTTATCTATACATCCGTGTGCTGACAGATTAAAAATACGGAGTGCTATTCATCCCGTGGGTGTCGTAAGAGCCGACTAGCACTGCAAAGAGAAGGAAAACTTAACACAAACCGTCTGGCCAGCGTGGTATAGTAGACCAAAACCTCCTTTCTAAGGCTATGTCTAGCAGTGGACTACTAAAGACTGTTGATGATGATCTATACATCATTCAAAAATTGGCTAAGGTGTTTGTTTAAAAAATCTGAAAAACTAATTTATCTTTCACGCTTTACTCGTTTTTATCGTACTGTAAGAGATGTGAAAGAAGAGTTATAATGTTATCAGTCTACAACCGTTTTCTGCAGTTTCGTCTTAAGCATTTATAACCAAATATTCATCATCATCATCAGCCTATCGCAGTCCACTGGCGGACAAAGGCCTCTCCTATTGCACGCCACTTCGATCGATTTTCGGATTCTCGCATCCAGCTCCTGCCAGCCATCTTACGCAAATCGTCACTCCACCTGGGCCTCAATTCTGCTATTTTATGTTCACGCCAAGCCAGTGTCATACCACTGACACGTTATTGAGATGCCATGAGTGGCCATTGGCAACGGTATAAATATCGGTAGTCTACACTAACTCAGTGTTTTTACAGTGGCGATGGAATGGCAGTGGCTCATCAGTGGTGATATCAAAAAGATTGCCATATTTGGAAAATTGCTTATAATTTGAAAATATATTACGTTTTTTTGAGGAAATGATTTATTTATTTTTCCGCATCTCAATTAGGGCCGGTCCTAGGGTGGTGCGAGCGGTGCGACGGCACCGAGCGCCATCAAGGGGGGGGCGCCGAAATGCACCTAACGTTTACACGCATGGCGAGCCTCGACAAGTGTCCACAAACACCAGTGTAAACGGGGTGTTTAGCTCGGCTCGCGTTTGCACGACGTCGATCGGTACTAGTGTCGGTTTTTGAACACAGATCAAAGGAATCTCGCGGCAAGGGTTTGCAACGTATTTACACGTTGGCGCGTGCTTGTTCCCTACTGCTCAATTTAATATTACAAGTATTGTAGTTGAGCAGTCGGGAATCAACATTAAGTCTCAATGCTCTACTGATTGAGCAGTTGATTTGAGCAATAGGGCTAGAGTTTTTTTTTGCGCGTGAATGAAAATATGTCCATGTCCACTATGTTTGCCTGTACGAAACACAATAGCACACACGCAAGCGAGTAAATGGCATCCAAGCGTTTTTTTTGTGACCAGTCCCACACACACGCCCACCACTGTAACTCCTGTACACCAAGATCCACAGCAGTGACCCACGAATACACCGAGTTATGACACTCGGGAAGTCCCAAGAAAAAATTAAACTGTCTTGGAACCCGCAACGAAATTAATCAGAAGAAAATTGGAGGAGTTAGAAATACAGTAAATCAACTTCCCTCCTTAGCAAAGCGGGAGACAAAAGGAAGTAAAATAGGCATACACCCTTTTAAAAAAACCGGTCAGGTACGAGTCGAACTCGTGCGCTGAGGGTTCCGAGGGTTCCGTACCTAACCAGATTTTACGTAGATTTTCGCGAAAATTTGTAAATACCAAAATTTATTTTAATTTTTAACTTTTTTATTTTTATTAATTATACCTTTATTTGTGCTATAAGACGTTTCTTTTTGCCAAATTTCGTGATTCTAGGTCTACTTGTCAAACAAACATTTTTGATAGCAGTAATTCGGTTTAATAAGCAGCGGCCGCTGCTTATTCTGGCGGAAAATAAAGCATCTGCTTAACAATTGAGCGTTTTTATTTAGAAGGACGCCAGTTTTAGACCTCGCACAACTTAAAACTTTTGATAGGACCGGTACTGATCTCAATATAGTGGTATGACACTGGCTTGGCGTGAACATAAAATAGCAGATTTGAGGCACTGGCCTGTGGGCGTCCTACACTGAGTTTACCGAGACGCGATCTCCACTCAAGAACTCGTTTACCCCAACGGTTGTCGGTTCTGCGGCTTTTATGGCCAGCCCACCGCCACTTAAGCTTCGCTTTTACGTAGTGGGTGCGGTTACCGGGGGCTTAAACACCTCACTTGACTTATCCAGGAAGGGAGGGGCTCTCCAAGCCGGCGGTGGTAGTCACTTACCATCAGGTGACAAAATATCGTAATTAAATTTAATTCAAAAGCATGCACTACATACCATTTAAAATCCTTCAATAGTTCGTCGAGACTACCCTCAACTTCTTTAAGGGTATCATTAAGATATTTCAACTTGATCAATATCTTTCGCCTGTCTCCTTCAGTGGAATCTGTGTTTGGCACTTCAGCGGCCGGCATTTCAGTGGCACCGTCTACAGTGTCCGTATTCACATTTTCTGGGGGTTTTTCTATGTTTGCACTTGAAGGAACATTTTCTTTATTTTCGTCTTTTTTTGCAGCCGGTTTAGATGCTGATGTGTTAGATTCTGAAAACAAAAGAACCATTAACAAAAGTGATTATTCAAGCAACTATGGAACTTAGTATCGCTACAAAGATTTTTGTGTCAAGAAAAAAATCACTGTTATATGATGAAAAACGCCGCATTTTGTGGGAAATCGTTCGTGGTAAAAGTCGGATGTTCAAAAGTCAAACAACATATTTTCGATCATAAATACTAAGCTAATAATATCGTGTGTAGAATTTTTAGCATAATTACCAAAAATCTATGTCTGACCGTTTTTTTTTTAAAAAAATCAACTACGTTGACCCGACTATTTTCAAAAATCGGTGTAGGTGAGATCAAAGTAGTCAGAGAGAGAATACATCTCATCATAACTGATCTGGTCTAACAATGACTGCCAACGTTGATGCCACAATCGAAGTGCACAATAAATACATCGACGAACAAATGTTTTTATTTTATGGGTGTGGAATCGTATCCCACAATCACTTTAAAATATGTAGGTATTTCAGTAAAATATGTATCACACAGTCTTGGTTACGATATAAATAAGTAAAAAAACTGGTGCCATGTCGTGCTAAATTATTTAGTTTCCTCTTAAAATCATTTCAGATAATTTAAACATTGTTGTGAATGTTGATTTGACAAATATACAGAATGACAGAAATTCAAAAATTCAATGAAATCAATCAAATATTTTAACCGAATTACCTCTGTAATATACGTGTTCTACGTGTAGGAATACACTATGGAAAATCTTAATCTTGGGGCTCAACGGTCACGGCAGCAATACACAAAGTGGTCATTAGCCTTTAAACGGCATTCAAAGACACATGAGATTGTTTTCCTTAAAACACGCTAAGTTACTGTGGATTAGAGCTTTTGCGTGAGTTACATTATAAATGTGTTAGTTATTATTACGATGGCTCTTTGTGCAAATGATAATGATAAGGAAAGCCATAGGCTGTTCCATATGATTGACTTTCTTTAGAGCAGGTGGCATCTAAGTTATAAACGATAACTGATAACCACTTCATCGATCCCATTATAGGTACTTGGATAAGATCTCGAAAAACTTAAACAGGCAGGCAGGCAACGGCAATTCCTCCTAGTATATAAATTATATGAAAACAAAAAAGAAATGACCTAATATTCACATACTTTTTGCCTGTCTTGTCTTTTATACAATAGAAGGTCACTCAGCGATGATGTAATGACAGGCCAGATAGGTCCAAATTAACTTTAAACGCATAAGGCGATTAGAAAAACTAAACACAATGATGAGCAGAAAAAACGTCGAGTGGTTCTAATTCTCCGAAATCGTTTGTAAGTTTTAAATAGTTTATTGGTTGCAATTAGTGTTACTATTTATAACAAGCAAACAACGTTTTTATATCAAAACCGGACCAAAGAAGTGATTCCGTTTTTAAAGCATGTATAATTAATAAACAAGTCTAACACGATACCATGGATACGACTACCTTGTATAAAAGAGGCCTTAAGGCTAGTCTCTAATACATTTTTCAAGTTTGAGTGACAAAACCATGTTTTGAACATAAGTCTTCAGGTCATGACTGTAATTAATAATTAATACTAATATCAACAAAACTTACTGAAAGAAACAATTATCATTTTGCCATTAAAATACTTAGATGTGCGTAAGTTGAGATCTCGAAATTAATGAATGATACCCCTTGTCAGTAAACTATCGTATCGTATGATATGAAAAAATAAAATCTGTATAGACACAAAACGCTGTCTAACATTTTTTTGTCTTTATAATCCATTAGAAAGTGTGTTTATCAGAAGGACCCCACCAACCTTTTATGTTAATTTACCTTTAATAGATTTGAGAAACTACAAAGACTAATCGAAGCAATTGAAAAAGTACGCTCTATGTAGTAGAAGTTAATTTTATATTAGAATAGCAAGAATAAAAACGTAACATTTCGATAGGCTGAAATGTTTCAAATGTCAGTTGAGGATTAGATCCTTACTGCAGAATAAACATTTTATCAAAATGTCAATGTGTACTACAAATTTAATAAGTCGGCCTTGTTTGTGACGTGACTGTCGGCGGCGACTCTGGCGTCAGCGACATTGGGTTGAGCCTACTCAATATTCGGTGTTCCTATTTTTGAACTACGCGCTATTCGCTAATTCTCAGTATGGTTTTATTTTTACCGGTATTTGAGGTCTTTTTTTCTCTAGCAATCGGGTAACGTTTGTATTACTTGAAGTGTGCTAATTAAATTTGCTATAACGAATTATTTTAATCCCATAGGGACCGAAATTTCAAAGAACCTTTCCTTGAAATTAAACTTTATTTTATGTCAGCTTACCATTGGATCTAGTGAAGAAATCACAGCCAGTGGTTACATCGGCTTCCATAGCGCTGACAATGCTATCCATCTCTCTTATCTGTGCATTGCTAGCGGGTTCGGCTTCCTCTTGTACTTCGCTTTCTTCAGTTGTAGATTCAGACGTGCTTTGGGGATTATTCGGTGCTAAGGGAATCAAATACATATGACCATAATTCAACTAAATAAAACAAAACTTTAATCCGTAATATAATTTTGTAAATGCGAAATTAACTCTGTGTGTCTCTTAGCGCGCTGTTTCACGCTTTCACAGCTAAACCGCTTAACCGATTTTAATGAAATTGGTGCATGGAGATACTTTGATTCTCGCTTCTTTTTATAGCGGTCACCGCTATACACGCAAGGAGATATGGGCAAAAGCTACGAGGGGAGGTTCAAAAGTTCGTGGAATGGAGGGGATGGAGTGGGGATAGGGGCGCTCGCTTAGTGTCATACTAATTCGGGACTCATCATTAGTATATAAATTAAGTTTCAGCCCTATTGCTTCATTCGTTTACGAATATCCGCCTGCTAAACAAGTCTATCCTGAAGAAAACTGCAACTATGGAGAAAATTGAACACCGTGCTGTGATGAAATTCCTTACGAAGCAAGCAAAGAACGCTCAGACCATTTTGAATGAAATGCAAACCGTTTATGGGGGACATTGCCCTAGTAAATCAATGATTTACAAGTGGCATGGTCTTTTTAAACATGGTCGGGCGTCGATTGAAGACGATCCCCGCTCAGGAAGACCAGTTGAGGCCACCACATAAGACATCGTCAAAAGGTAGAAAAAATTATACTGGAGGACACCCGTTTGAAGAAAAAACTATTATCTTCATTAGTTGGAGTATCAGATACCACCATTTTACTACTCCTACATGACTACCTGGATATGACAACAGTCAGTGCAAGATGGGTACCGAGAAGGCTCATGTCGCTTCAGAAACAACAGCGGGTCAATGGGTCAAAATAATTTTTGAAGTTGTGTGGAGACGAACCTACACAGATTTTGGAGCGGATTGTTACCGGAGATGAAACATGGGTTCATCACTTTGAGCCTGAGTCCAAACAAGAGTCAAGATGCAATGGCATAAAAGGGTACACCACCGCCACAGAAATTCAAAGTGTCGGAGTCGGCTGGAAAGTTGATGGCTACTGTTTTTTGGGATTGTGAGGGGATAAAACTCATTGATTAACCAGAGAAAACTACGCATCGATACTAGAGAAATTAAAGGAGGCCATCAAAGAAAAGCGACGAGGAAAATTGACCAAGGGTGTGTTGCTCTTGCAAGACAACGCGCCGGTTTACAAGAGCAGAGTTGCAATAGCTGCATAAGCATGGCTTCGAAACGCTGGTCCACCCACCCTACAGTCCAGGTCTGGTCCCAAGTGATTTTTATTTGTTCCCCAATTTAAAAAAAAGACATAAGGAGAAGGAAATTTTCCGACGACAATGAGATAAAGGAGGCAATTTTAGCTCATTTTGAGGCAAAAGATAAAAAACATTTTTACGATGGTTTAGAAAAATTAATTCACAGATCTAATAAATGTATTCAGCTTAAGGGAGGTTATATTGAAATGGAAAAATAGATTTATTGTTACATTTTATTTAAAACCCTTTCATTCCACGAACTTTTGGACCTCCCCTCGTAGTTACAAATACATAACTAACATAGATTTATAGCTGTTATTTATCAGTTTTTTCAAGCAAGTGATGAGATTAAAAACAAGTCTGCTAAATATATGCTATAGCATTTTTTGCACTATTCATATTGAATAATCTTAAACGTTGTTCAGGGTATTTACTGCAGGAAATACTAACATACTTACAGTCAACTCTCCTATAGAAGTGCAGCCTGTTATTATCCAGCATAGCCATGTCGGCATCTACTATGCTATCCATCTCTTGTAAAGGTACTGCATTCCCGTTGTTCTCCGCTGAAGGTTCTCTGGAAGGCGTATTAAGTCCTGCAGCAAAAAGGACACATATATGATAACAATAGTTGAGATATGTTGCTTTTTTTCACTGTTATTTTTAATAAATCCTGTGTCGCGAGGAACATTACAAACATTCATACATCATCATCATCAACAGCCTTTAATAGTCCACTGCTGGCATAAGCCTCTCCTTAGAAAGGAGGTTTTGGCCTACTATACCACGATGGCCAGACGGGTTGCTATAGGGTTTGTGTCAAGTTTTCCTTCTCTCTGCAGTGCTGTTGTTCTGCGTAGTTTTTTCCCTTAGTCGGCTCTTGCGACATCCACGGGATGAATAGGGGTAGTGACAATCTGTATTCTTAATCCGTCAGTCATACAACGGAGACAAAAGACACCAGTCTCAGAACAACAATTTGTTGATCACACAATGTGAGTGATCGAACCAGCAACGCTCAGTGCAGTTGGAAGCGGCGTGGCGACTGCTTAAACCACTACGCCATTTATTACGGGGTTTAATTTAAGCGAATTAAACGCCAAAATCGTTTGAACCCTAATTTTAGTCCTTCTTACGTAATAGGAGACAAGGTTATTGCCGGGTTTTTTGAGATTAGATGGGAAAATCAGAAGTGGCCATTACAGTACTTCTCATTTTCCAATCTAATCTCTAAATTCATAATATCAAGGGCAAACAATTGTAGGAAAAGGATGGTTGGTTATACGGATATACTGGGGACTGTATGCATTAGCACGAGTAGGTAAGGAAAGTCCGTGCCTTCTAAGCGAATTACAATTTGCTGTTATATCTATAACTAGCTGGTGTCCATGACTTCGTTCGTGTAGATTTGAAAAGCGCTGGTTCCAGTCCGGAACTAGACAAAATTTTATAGGGGTTTTCTGAGAGAAAAAATAGCCTACGTTACTCTTTATATATGTAGTAAAATAATATTAAAAACTGGTCCAGCCGTTTTGAAGATTACCCGGAACAAACAGACAGACAGACAAAAAATATTTAAACTGGTTTTAAGGTTAGGTATCGCGCACATAACCGTGTGAGCATGAAAAAAACCTATTATTATGACATTACAAACAGACACTTCAATTTTATTTATTTGTATAGTCATACATTGTGCTGGTATATATTTATAATGTAATTACTTGTAAATGCTCACCGGATTAAAAGTTTGATCAATTTTATGAGAAACTTAAACAGATATTTGTTAACAATTATAAACCACTAACGGACTTCGGGGCTGTCAAAGTGAGGACCAAAATTTTAGTGTTTAAAGTAACATTAATAGTCTTTTATTGTTGCTACCTTTATATAGGTTATCAGGTAGGTTTAGGTTCTATTTATAGCCTAAATTATAAAAGTGTATAAGCCATTGGCGAAAAGAATTGAAGCAGATTAATGCTGAAAATCCAGTGAAGGAATGTTTTATGCAACTGAACAATTAAACAGCTTATTTATTTCTTTGTATGAAGGGATGAAGCGTTGTCCCAGATACTTTTGGCTGAATCTTAAACAGCGGTTTTTAAATGACCCGATGTACATACCCTCTAAGGAAGGCATCTATTCTTTCTATTGTAAGTACCTAACGAAAAACATCGACCGACAGCTTAACGTGCTCTCCGAGGCGAGGCGTCTCAATGTGTTAAGACTGGTCACCCATCCATAGACTGACCTGGCCAAGATTGCTTACCTTTGCAATGTGTTAACCTACTCAGTTACCACTTAGCTACGAGCCCCTCAACTACAACGAAACTACTCATAGTAATACATACATGCAAGACAGAGGCTTATGTTAGCTGAAGACAGTCTATGGACTGCCACAGATGAGCATAACCACTTCAATCAGGTTAGATTTACTTTTATGATGTAGTGTGTCAAGAAATATGTTCCAAAGGGTATAATATGTCTGCGGTAAAGAAAAGAACAAGGTTATTCATTTGATGTTAGTTTATTTACTTGAATTACGTAATAATCTTATAATAAAAATTAGGACACATATATGGCGCCAATAATGCGATGAATTAATAATGATAGCAATGCTGCATGCGCTGGAAATGTGGGTCTCTTAACTGATAACAACTTTTGTTGATAAGAAGTATTAAACGTTTAGAATGACTCCTACTGCAACATGTTATCATCTTTTAGTCTTTGTTTAGGTTTGGTTAGTATTCCTCTTATATAAAGAGGATACAATTTAGATGAGAAAAAGATGAAATATCTCGTTATTTAATAATTAGGCTTTAATTAGAGGCTAAGGCTAATTAGAGGCTGGCATTTGCGGGTGAGAAAGAAAACAAAAATGGTTACACTGGTAACAACCCACAGATTAGGAATGCACATGGTTTACATTTAAGGAGTTGATTCACATTTTGGTGGTAATCCATTCATTGCTGGAGTTCGATTACAGGTTTACGCGTGGCCGCTTTAGCACCCGCATAGTTAGTAGAGCCTGCACCGCTTGACTAGGTTTGTTTAACAAACCTAAGTACAAGTTTTCACAGCTAAACTTTTATATCTATAATATTCATATACAGTGTCAGGGATACAGAAAAGGAAATAGAGTAAGTAAGCTACCTTTTTTCTGTACCTACCCTATTTTATAGAAATGAATTGACAAAGTCTACATTAGCGTGCTTGGAACCAAGCTAGTAGTCTAGTCTTGTCTAGTAGTTCTAAAAGGTCAAATGACGATTTGGACTCGACACAAATGTGAGATAGTTTTTACTTCTACTCCTTAACTAGCGTGTTGTCAGGAGTATAGTAGGTAAGCAACACGTTAAGAGATTGTCTATAATATAGTTGGCATTTGCTACAAATAGAAAACCGCACCATTAATACTATACAAACATTAATTTATCACCTAAAGCTGATTGATTAGTCAATTAGTTTTTCAATTTTGTGCGTAAATGTACGTATATACTTTTTGGTTACCATATCATCATCAACAGCCTTTAATAGTCCACTGCTGGACATAAGCCTCTCCTTTTTACCCTATAACCGAGTAAACCAGATTTATTAACTGGAACAACCTTCATGCTAAATTAATTTTGTAATTGTTCTTTTGACAATTTAATCCCTTTCAAGTTTTAAAAATTCACATATTCTTTATTTTTATGGAAGACATTGGACGTTGGAAGGCGTGGCCGACCTTTAAGGAAGTACTACTCTCTTTACTTGAAGGTTTGAAGGTCGTATCGGTGCGGAAATAGAGCAGACGATAAGTTGTTCCACAGGTGCGAGGCAAAAAGTGTCTCTAAAAGCGTACAGTGGTGGAGGAACCAATTTTCCAAGTGATAGGGATGAAAATTTTGCCGTGTGGAATGATGGCGGCAAGTTGCAGCTAGTATTATTCAACGCTTGTTATTGGTAAGCGTACAAGTGTTTATGTTCAGACCTAAGTTCGCCATATGTTTTAATTTTAATCATCAACTTTCGATGAAACTTCTATCAGTGGTTCGCTAAACTGTAACAATACATTTATTTTTGGATGAATGCATTAACACTTGGAATTTCTTGATCTCATTCAATATCATGTCAAATTAAATTAAAATAGAAAAGGTGACTGCCAAACTTGAGACTTGCCAAACAAGAGTTTGTTGTTTATTGAGTTAATAACGCTTCTATCACTCCTTAATTAATTTATTTAGTTTGCCTTTATTAAAATCATATTTCTCTTCACTGGGAATTTGTATGGTTGTCTTTTTGAAACATATTCGATGAATAGGCACAAATTATTTTAGAATGAAACTTTCTGATCTCAAACTAAGCGTGTGCTATGGTAACCAGACTGCTGATAAACATACTTATATATTTATAAATACTTACATAAATAGTATAGGTAAATTGTCAGTATTGTTACGAATTAAGAACACAGAGTGTCGCCACCCCTATTCATCCCGTGGGTGTCGTAAGAGTCGACTAAGGGAGTTAACTACGCAGGAAAACAGCACTGCAGAGAGAAGGAAAATCTGACACAAACCCTGTACCAACTCGTCTGGCCAGCATGGTATAGTAGGCCAAAACCTCCCTTCTAAAGAGAGATCTATGTGCAGCAGTGGACTATTAAAGGCTGTGGATGTGATGATGATGATGATAGATAAATTACATCCAGACACAGAACAGATGATCGTGCATAATATTTTTTTCTTTTTTATATACATAGTTTTAAAGCGCCTGACACCGACACGGTAGCACCTACGCTGCACGCCATAATTAAGAGCCGCCGCCTTATCGAAGACATACGTGAATAAAACTCTTTTACAAACACTTTTGTTTCATAAGTAATTGTTTGCAGGAAATTTTTTGAGCGCATTTCTTACTCGCACTTGGCCGTTATGATTGTTACTACAAATAATGTTAAATTAACATACCTGTCGTCTCCGTAATGGAACCTTGAGTCGAGCTACTAGTTTGTGTGCTTGACATCATTAAATTGGATCCTGCGAACAAATGTTTGTTTTAAAACGGAAAAAAAGTTTCAATTTGTTATTGTTTTTAAGTGCAACCCAGAACAGTACTGTGGTTTTTTGTCACAAGTACGGTGATAACGATACGCTTATATAATAATTAATTAAAGATTACAATCAGCATAAGTATTTTTTTTTTTACATTTGTAGATAAACGAACTAACATAATATTGTAATTTTATTAGTTAAATTGATTGTTAAAGGTTAGGGTTGCCACTGGTACTGTACACAAACTCTACCCGTACAAAGTATCTATTTATGGATAACTACTGTTCCCAAGGGAAGACGAAAGTATATATTAATTGTGCAATATTTCATACAATTAATTCGACTTGTGATCTGCGCTATCGAAACGTTGGGTTAAAAAGGTAACTACCTTGTAATTATTTTCTCGATTTATTCCCGGTATACGTATCTAATATTTATAAATTACTATTAACGTGGTAGGTAATGTAATATAATGTAAATGTGTTTTGCTAACGCTGATTGCTGAAGCAGTCATCCAATACTACACGAATTTGTACATACCGGTCGTTTTATTGGGTTACCCTCGATTCCCAATTAAACTTAATGTTGCAAAAATAATGTTGGGCATCTTATCGGAATTCAATCAACAGAGGTACCTTTTTATATGATCCCAATACGAAGAGATAATTAGAATCGGAAAATATAAGGAGTTATTTATTAATCGGTGCTATCTAAAGTTCCAGTTACAAAATTTATTTGGAAATAAATTTTTAAGCCGAGGTATTCGAACTGTGTACCGCTTGGTCGCTTACTTTCTTTGTTGTAACACTCCCTTGAAATAATTATTTAAACGTCGACATTACCTCTTTACTTTCAACCAATACTTAATTTTACCATACATCTGACAGTGAAAATACAGTCATCGTTTTTTGAATTCTAATCTATACTAATATTATATAGCTCATGAGTTTGTTTGTTTGGTTGAACGCGTTAATCTTAGGGAACTATTAGATAGAATCGAAAAATTCTTTTGGTGTTGGATACCCCATTTATCGAGGAAAGCTACAGGCTATAAAACAACACGATACGACCAATAGGAGCCAATTATTAATGAAAAATGTTGCAAAAACGAGGAAAATTTATTGAATTTTTAAGACGCAGACAAAGTTGCGCGGGTCAACTAGCGTATAATAGTGTCTAGTTGCATAAGTATTTAAGTGTATTAGTTATAGTCTCGTAAGTCGTCAGAAGGCATTTCATTCCAAATCACCGAGCCCTAACACGTAACGATAAATCTGAGTGACATATCCAAGAATTAATTTGAATAGATACTAATTTTAATAAGAAGAAATGACGTAGGTACACATAATTATGGACGTTATATGTTCTTTTTACAAATATAACTAAATCGTAGGTATTTAGTCGTTTTAGAAGGTAAATATTAATAAATTAGTTGATGAACAAGCATGATGAAGCAACATTGTACATTATGTCAGAGTATTGAAAATGTGTACAAACACGTCCTTATCATTGGGAACCTAATTATATAAATACTGTTTGTGTCAGTACTGCTACTGATACTGAATTTGCTTGTGACTATCGTGTAGCGTGAACCATACCTAGTTACCTAAGCCTAGTAACCTACTAGTTTACAGTCTAACATAAACTTTATGACTATTTTAAATTAGAACCTATACTTCTAATTACTTCGTACTTTTTAGGGTTACGTCATCCTAAAAAGAACTCTATACTTTCGGCATGCCCGTCAGTCTGTCGACGGCTTAGTTTAGAGACTGTTAGTATTAGAAAGTTGTATTTTTTTTTGGGTTCCGTACCTTAAAAGGTAAAAAAGGAGGGGTTCTTGAAAAAGGAAGAAAACTTGTAAGTACCAAAATTATTAAACATTTTTTATTTTTCATAATTTTCTCTTTCCTTGTGTTGTAAGACCTTGCCTTTAACCAAAATTGACAATTCTAGGTCAACCGGAAGTACCCTACAGGTTTTGGGTCGAAAACCTATATGGTAGTTCGTTGACCTAGAATCACGAAATTTGGCAAAAAAAAAACGCCTTACAGCACAAATACAGGAATAATTCCAAAAAGTTTGCGCGAAAATCGAAATTTGCCCATATCTTTGTATCGTGTTGACTCAGGACCTTGATTTTTATATACAGCTAATAGGGACCATAGACCTCAGTATCTGGTATAAATTTCAACTTGCTAGGTCTACCCCTTCCTGAGAAAATCGGTGGTGACACATGGACAGACAGACAGACGGACAAGAAAGTGATCTTAAAAGGGTTCCTTTTTTACCTTTTGAGGTACAGAACCCTAAAAAGTGTATATCCCCCTACACGTCAAGTTGAGAAGATTTAGTTTCTCGTCTATACCATAGCGTTAGTAGTCAAAAATATTGAGAGCGTATAAAAACTATTTTTTGATTTAGTAATCCGCTTGCGATATTTTCAATTTTAAAGTATATTTGTTAGTCATGATTACTCCTTCTACCTTGAAAAGACTGAAAAAAAATAGAAAATATATAACAGGTTTAGACAGAAAAGTATCACGGCTGATTTAGTAAGTTTCTTGTTTGAAAAGGTATAAACTACGGAACCCTACATTGAGCCTGGAATTTTTCATTTGTCTTCCAACTTTGATTAAATGAAAAAAATTGAAATTAGTTATGAAAACAAAAATGGTATACTATTCACTCTACTCTTAAACTTTTCAAAAATATATTAGACCTGAAAGATAAACGTAGGCAGTTCATTCCGGACAAAGCTACTCAAACCAAAAAACTGTTAAAGCGCTTAGTTAGAAACTCACCTAGAGCCTCTGGGTCTAAGATAAGATAAGATGAATGCGAGAGCGATTAGTAAGCAAATGTAAGATGATGCTGACAAGTATGTAGTTCCTTAGTCGTAAGTACATTCTCGTTTATATTAAAACTATATTTTAATTAAACGTTTTAAGATGACGATGTACACGAAAGGTACAAACGGAACCCTATTACTTACTGAACTAAAAAATTTACAAAATTAAAGCTTAAGGTATAACCTACATATTGTTAAATCTTCTACGATGGTATAAATCCCTCCGTGTCAATTGGACTTCCACTGAGGAGAAATAATTGAACGTGCACGATCAACTGTTCTGGATGTAAGTGTAATTTATCTATAATATGTTTGTAATTACTTTATAAATTTATAAGTATATCAGCAGTCTGTGTCAAATTATTATCCTAGACATATTAAGTAACGCCTGGATATGACTATTTTACGCCATTAGGTATATACTTTATTACATTTGTTTATCTGTAAAATACACATTAAAAAGTCTATCAAAATTAGCGAAATACTCATTTAAAACACATGAAATTACTAAAGAGACAAGTAGCTACGCAAAGCGGCACTCATTTACGTTACTGGTTCCCTATTGTTGTTGAAGGTGGAAAATCTCTTTGGATTTACGGCTCCTTGGGGACGAAAGAGCTAGGAGTATATGATGTTTAAACTAAAAACCACCCCGACGGCCGGCCTCAGTCGTCCTACTCTGGGGAGAACCCAGAGAATGTGATTTCAGGTCCTCCCCGAACGAAGCCACACCTAACGAGACTCAATCCCGGGGCAAACTGCAAAGCTCAAACTACAAAGCTGCAAACTTCCCACTTCATTTCCACTAAAATTATAAAAACCATATATTTTAAAGAAGACAGTGTAGCAAAATTTAAAACGACGTCGAATATAGTAACTGTTCACCAGCCGGTATGGTCTATCTCTTTTATATTACAAAACATAGAAATTCTACAACTCTTCTATTTCATTTAACATCAAGGCCCAAATGAAACGGACGCAAAGAACAACCCCCAGACACAGAACAACAATTTATGAATCGCACAAAGTGTTGTCCCATGTAGGAATCGAACCCACAACACTCAGCGCAGTAGGATGCAGCGAGGTGACCGCTTAAACCACTATGCCATCTGTACCTACATCTTGCACTTCTGCAACAATCTAGTGACACACGCTTTGAGTGGATGTCAGTAGGACCGAAAAATGTGTAACAAGACTTTTATCCGACACTTCAGTTAGCGGCATTGACGCTCACATCTTTTTCATATTTTCGTTTATATAGCAAACGTCTACCAAAACGCAATCGGAACTTCGTTCCGACCAGGGGTCCTTAGACCCCTCACGCCGTTTTTTGTATAGCATAGGTGTATAACTGGTGTACTGTACCTAAATATTAAACAAGTACTTAAGTGTATAATGCTTACTTCTCCCAATTCTCACGGTGACTGGGTGACGAGTCCTTGCCCGCATTACGAGCACTGTCCGATACCGCCCTGGCCTCGCGTTCGTAGACCACCATGCTAATGCGGCAACCATAAGTACAAACACCACACCAACGAACTGCACCACCTCGTCACCCACACCTTCTATCAGCGACATCTTGGGTTATACGCCTAGGGAAAAAAGATTGTGTCATAAAATATTTATTTATAAAAAATATAAGCACGTAATGTAAGCTCTTATTGAAGTGAAACTTCTTTATAGAATCGTTGTGATTTAAAACTGGTGAAAACGAAAATGCATCACGATAAAGAAAAAAGCACATAAATGTTTAGGATTAAGACGGCGAGAGAATGAGATAGAATACATTACACATTATTTTTAATATTATATTTTCAATGTAAATATTTTTATATTTTTATTTAATACTAGCTGGTACCCGCGACGTCGTTCGCGTGGAATTTGAAGAACGCTGCCTTAGTGGGTTCGATTCACAATAAAATCCGCAAAACGCATACAAAGCTACGTAAAATAATAGCGATAATACAAAAGAAATATCTGTATTAAAATATGGCACGCGCGAGGTGAAGACACGTTTAAACACGCAGGTGACGTATAGTCCGACTGATTCGCAGACAAGCTATTTTGTTTTCTATAACATCAAGGCTCTCGATGTCAGAAAATGATGATGTGGACATAAAAACCTTCTTAAATGTCTGGGCGCACATTTCTCATTTAAATAATACAAAATGTGTCCTAGTAGTACCGAGTAGTAGTAAGATTCTGTCGTCGATTCACTCATTAATGAATCGTTCTATCGGCAAAACGTTTGTAGTGGAAAGGTTCTGTCGTTGATTAAATCCTTTATCAAACGTTTTTTCGGCGAATCGTTCGTATTAGAAAGGTTCTGTCGTTGAACAACTTATAAATTTTGTAATAAACTGTAACCCTAGCAAAAATAGGATCCCAATTCTTCCTCATAAAGGAATTGAAAAATTAAACCTAAGACAACAAGAAATAAATTTTTTCCGTTATTTTTAAGCATAAAATATTGAGGTTTTTTGTTGCAAACAATCATGTTTGTTATATAAGCAATAAAAGGTGTTATTTTTGAAAGTAAAATTATTTTTATATTTTCCATTGAAATACTTTAATGTCAAATAGAGTTCCACTCTTCCTTTGGAAACGATTTCGTTTATCGACAGATGTAAATAATATGAGATGTCCATTTTTTCGATCAAAAACCATAATGTGGGATTGGACCACATATGTAATTTAATATAACTGATAGAAAAAAAACTTGTAATTAATATTGAATCCTTTCTTATTATAAATACGATAACATACTTATTTCAAGTCAAAGTTTTTGTAGGGGTAGTTTCCCTAACATTACTGATAGATTGCTGGTTTGATAAATGAGTAGACAACTTTACCGAATGATGATTTTATTGCTACTAAATTATGTACAAAAATTATGTATGTAAAGTAAGTGCCTATGTACTCGTAATACGAGTGCAATACAAATGAGTGAACGCAAGCTAATTTCATTAACTACTACAAATGTGCGGGTTTGCTCGTACATGCTCCCACACAGGAGAAAATAACTATGTAAAATGATAGCTTATGAAATAAACTAGAACAATGTTAGCAGTTCAATATCTGTAGTAAATAACTTCTAAATTAAAAATATTAAAGTAAATATATAAAAGGATGGAACATTATTACATTAACATTTAATGTCCCTAGTTACTTTTTCACTTTATTGATTGTTCACCTTAGTTTATCGCGCGCTCTAACGAATAAGAATGGGCGACGAGGCTTTATTTAGTACACGCGCCCTAGAACTAGCCAGATTCGATCTGACACACGGAACACTGTCGTTTATTTCACTAACACAATGGAAAAACACTCTGTCACTACTTCTCTGCTGATCCGCCGATGTCGGCGCGCTCGCGGGCGGTACGCGCCACGCGCGCACTCGTCGCCACGCGAACATCAAACCGGCTATCCCTGCGATTCCGACGATACAGTAGATCGCTGTGTAGTCTTGTATGTCATGATACGAGATGCTTTCTGATAAATGTGCATTATCTTTCATGACTTTAATTTTCTCGCCGATGTTAGACAGTTCTTTATCATAACTTTCCACTTCCGATTCGTTCAGTGGAACTAAGTGTGGGATAGGGATGTTGATAATCTGATTTATTAGTAGTATTACTGGAGCGTATACCTCAGGTTTTACGTTCAACTGACTAGATTGCATTTTGTGCGCAATCACAGTAAAATATTGTGTTTTGATAATAGATGTTTGATTCTGCCAGTATGACGAAATATGCCGTTGGTTGTCACGCAGTAACCTGATATCCTTTTGATATTGTTGGGCGAATCGGCTATCTAATACGCCGAACAGACTGTTAGCGAGATATCCTACGCCGTCTACAAGACCGCGTCGCTGCCTGGCCAGAGAGTCCAGTCGCGCGCTAAAATGCTGACCGAGCAACATCTGATTGTAATATTCAAGTTCAACAACACCTTGATTCAATTGCAGTAATATAATATCGCAGTTCATTGTATGATTTATTGTATTACACATTTGTTCGAGAGACGTATAGTATTTATTGAGAGCTTTTATTCCCTCCCAGTAAGGTTGCATGTCGTAGTAAATAATTAATTTCCAATCGTCCCTTATTATCTGCATATCGGATAATTTATCGAAATAAATGCTTTGCTTTTGACCAAATTTCGTAAAATAAAAACTGCTTTGTACAGTTGATATGATAGTCATAAAAAATATTAAGGATGTAAGCAGTGATACGATATTATAACTTCTTACATTTCTCTTGTGAGTGGGGGAGGAGTAGTGTCTGATATAACTTTTTTATCGTTTTGAAATATCTCCGATTTGGAAGGGTTAATTGGCAAAATTGATAATTTTGTGATGGGTCTTTTGAGTACTCCGTTTTTCGTTTTTAGACTAACAACCCGGACATATCCGTCTGTACCCGGATGCAGCTCTATCACTCTACCTATTGACCATTTTCCCGGTGGTAGGTTGTCGTCGTGCAGAAGGACTACGTCATTTAGTTTGATATTTTCATGAGGCTTTCGCCATTTGCTACGTGTTGTTAATTGTGTTAGATACTCAGAACGCCATCGTTTCCAAATGTCACTGAAAATTCTCTGAGTCAGCTGCCATCTGGTTCTCAAGTCTCTTTCTGTTTCAACCAATGTAAGTGCTGATCCACCAGTCAAGAAGTGTGACGGTGTCAGATATGCTAAATCTTGTGGATCTTCAGTTAGTGGGCACAGAGGTCTAGAATTCAGGCACGCTTCGATTTGTGCTAATACCGTTGACAACTCTTCGTACGTTAACTTTTGTTCACCAATCACTCTTTTAAAATGATATTTAAAGCTTTTAACTGCCGATTCCCACAGGCCACCTGCTGAGGGCCAGATTGGCGCGTTAAAATGCCAACTGATTTCCATTTCTGTAACTTCAGCAAAAAAATCCTTGTTGAATATTTGCTGTAGGTCATGATATTCTGCTTGCAATAATTTGTTTGCACCGACAAAGTTTCTACCGTTGTCACTGTATATGTGAGTAGGCGTTCCTCTGCGAGCAGCCATTCGTCTTAAAGCTGCAATGAATGTCGAGGTACTCAGGTCTGAGGCTAGCTCTAAGTGTACCGCTTTAGTACTCAGGCAAATGAAGACGGCCACGTAACCTTTGGTTGTCTTAATCCCACGGCCCTTGTTGGCTTTAAGCAGGATATGTCCCGTAAAGTCTACCCCAGTGTGGGCAAACGGACGTGATGGATTACACCTTGCCTCGGGTAAGTCTCCCATGATCTGTTGCTGTTTAAGGGGACTTATCTTTTTGCATTTTAAGCATAAACGTATCCGTTTTTTAGTGGTGTCGTTACCGCTCACAATCCAATATTTTTGTCTTATGAACGCCAACGTTAATCGAGCACCGCCATGAAAGGTTAGTCGGTGAGCCTCTTCTATGATCAACTCTGTTAGTCGTCCTTTGTGCGGTATGATTATGGGATGCTGCATATCAGCATGGATGTAAGCGTGTCGTAATCTCCCTCCCACACGTAAAAGACCCTTACTGTCTAAATAGGGATTGAGATTTAGAAGTTTACTTTTACTGCTTATCTTGCCTTTTTCCTTGAGACTTCTTATCTCTTCTGTAAACTCTTCTTGTTGCACATGCTTGATAATCGATAATTTGGCTTTTCTGATTTCTTCTAAGGTAAGATATTCCTCTCGCAATTTGCTTTGTTTATATGTTATAAAACGGTACATCCATGCTAGTATGTGCACAATTTTATTTAACGAGCTATAGTGTATCAATAAGTTTGTAATGATATTGTTACTGGTATCTTGCATCAAAACATTGTTTATATGTTTCTGTTTCTTTAATTCTTCTGTGGTTGTGTAAATGGGCTGTTGCGCCTCGTTATTGCTATTGAATGTGAACAACCACGAAGGTCCTTGCCACCACAAGGGATGCTGATTTAATTGAGATATATGTAAACCTCTACTTGCACAGTCAGCGGGGTTTTCGCTAGACTTCACATGTCGCCAGCAGGCAGACGGTATTGTCTCTGTGATTGTTCTTGTTCTGTTAGCGACAAATGTTTGCCACCGGCCTGGTTCTCCCTGGAGCCATCCTAGAACGGCTGTAGAGTCGGTCCAGCCGTAAACGTCAATTCTATAGTCTTGTAAACATGACTTAACTTTAGCCATGAGATTCGCTAGTAAAAGAGCTCCACAAAGCTCTAATCGTGGTAATGTTATTTTCTTACTAGACGGCACTATTCTTGATTTTCCTGCGACAAGAGTAATGTTTGACTGGTCGTTGTAAACTTTACAATAGATAACACAGGCATATGCCTTTGTTGACGAGTCACAAAAGCCATGTAGCTCAATTTTGTAGGTAGGTTTGGTTCCTAGCCATCTCGGTAATCGAACGTGATTGATTTGTTCTATCTCTGATTTTATTTTGATCCATTCATCGTATATTTCTGCCGGTATTTGATCATCCCATTGTATATTCGATACCCAAATTCTTTGAAATAGAATTTTAAGTTTAGTGGTAACAGGTGTAAGCCATCCTAAGGGGTCAAAGAACTGAGATATCTCAGATAACACGGACCGTTTTGTAACTTTGCTGACTATTGGTTTTATTTTGAAATTAAATGTGAAATTATCTTGTGACGGATTCCAGCGAAGTCCTAAAGTTTTTGTGGACTCCGGTTGTTTAAAAGTTATTGATTCCTGTTGTAATGTCTCATCATGTAACAACTGAGCCTCGTTTGAAGCCCACTTCCGTAAGTTGAAACCACCACTCTTTAATAATGTAATTAAATCTTGTTGTAATTGATAAGCTGTGGATATGTTGTGAGCCCCATGGACCAAGTCATCCATATAAAATGACTCTTCTAGGACCTTTGCTGCTTCTGGATACTTGCTCCTTTCATCACTAGCCAACTGTCTCAAAGTCATCATAGCGAGAAATGGAGCTGCTTTCGTGCCATATGTGACAGTTTTTAATTGATAGTCCTGTAGTATATCTGTGGGGCTCTCCCTCCACACGATCTTCTGTAAGTCCTGATCATCTGGATGTACTAAAATTCCGCGAAACATCTTTTCGATGTCTGCCGTAAAAGCAAATTGAAATTGTCTCCATTTTAGTATAAGGAACTGAAGGTCTTGCTGTAAATTTGGGCCCTTATACATTAGATCATTCAAACTTTGGCCACTTGTAGTTTTTGATGACGCATTGAATACTACTCTTAATGACGTTGTTGTTGAGTCACGCAGTACACAATGATGCGGTAAGAAACATTCGAGTTTCGTGTTACCTAAAGCTCGTGTCATATGACCTAACGCTAAGTACTCGTTTATAAAGGATTTATATTCAAAGGCGATATTTTGATTTGTTGCAAATTTTCGTTCCAAGTGGCTAAATTGGGCAATAGCTTTCGACTTTGATTTACCCAACTGTTCCTCAATGCCCGTTTTAAGAGGGAGCCTTACTTCGTATCTTCCGTCTTGCAATCGGCGCGTGGAAGACTTGTAAAATTGTATACATCTTTCATCATCCGAAGAAAGAGACGTAGATTCGGATATTTCTTCGGTTTCCCAAAATCTACGTAACTGATCAGTGTCAACCTGTATGACGTTACATTGTAAAGTTTTGTTCACATGTCCACACAATATCCACCCCAGCTGCGTTTGTTGAGCAACGGGAATGGTGTTGTCTAGTCGGCATATGCCATCCATAATTATATTCGAATATATGTCAGCGCCAAATAATAAATCAATAGGGCTGCTGATGTTAAAATCTGGATCAGCAAGGAATATATTGTCTAAGTACGCCCATGTTGGCTTAGCGAAACTGTGAGTCGGTAAATTTTTTGTCAAGTTTTTCATAATGAAAACATTTGTATTGAAAGTGTAAGAATCATTCCGGGAAGTACAGTTTATGGTAACAACTCCTTTGCAAGCATTATTTTTGTCTCCGATACCCGTTATCACATTGTTACATTTTTGTCGCGGTAATGATAATAGTTGTGCTGCATTCTCTGTTATGAGGGAAGTTTGTGAACCCTGATCAATCAGAGCTCTTAATGTAAGGTATGACCCATCCATTTTTTGAACCTTGACTACTGCTGTCGATAAAAGTATTTCTGGAACTTCTCGTTTTTGTGCCACGTGCGAATTAACTTGATGTGCTTGATCAGCGGATACACGTGCGCTATCATATTTTGCTAGAGCAATATTTTTTGACGTAGTTGGGGATTGCGTAAATGCTTCGTGTAAAATTGTATTATGATATCCGGTGCATTCACGACAACGTTTTGTTGAAAAACATGCCTTACCGTTATGATTGTATAAGCAGTTTTCGCACAGTTTGTGCTTGTTAACAAATTGTATTTTATTTACTGGAGACATCGCAATAAACATTTCGCAATGAAATAGACCATGTTCATTTTTGCATAATGGGCAGATTTTGTTGTAATTTGATTTAGTATTTAATTGCGAAACTACTTTATTACTTGAATATGTTTGTCTGAAGTTACGAAACTTCTGATTGTTATTGGAATGATTTTCATGTAATAATTTTGAGTTAGAATTTACAGATTTTGTTTCCTGTTTACGCTTTGAGGACTCCATGTTGGTGAATTTGTTTTCCAAAAAGTCTAAAAGGTCCTGTAAAATCGGTAATTCACGTGGTTGTTTCAGAGAGCCTAAATAATCATCGTGGGTCTCAGGGTCCAATTTGTTTGTTAATAGGAACACAAGAAAGGGATCCCACGTGCTCACATCTACTCCTAGATTTTTGATCGCGTTGAGACACTCGTATGTTGTGTCGTGAAGGCGCTTGATATGGCTAAGGGATGCTTGTTGCATGACTGGAAGGTTCCACAGAATACTTAGGTGCGACATAAAGATACGCTTTTTGTTATTATATCTATGGTTCAGAATTTCCCAACAAGTAGTGTAATTTTCTGAACTAATCTGTAAATGTTGTATCAACGCTTCTGCCTCCCCCTTAACTTTACTTTTAAGAAATTGCATTCGCTGCGCATTCGACAGCGACGGGTTGTTATGTATTGTCTCCGTGAATAAATCTTTAAAGGAAACCCAATGATTATAATTGCCTTGAAATGTAGGAACATCCATCTTAGGGGTTGACTTATCCCTATGTGCTACTGACCACAACTTGCTATTCAGTTTCTTTTTCATGCAAGTAAAAGCTGTTTCATAGGCAGAATAAGAGTCTTCGTATGACTGGTCTTTACCATCGAGCTCCCCATCTAACTCCCAGTGAAGGGAGTCAATAGCAGACCATCTCGCCTCTAAAGATTTTAATGTATCCTGAAACTCCCACCTTTCTCTTATGCTATCTATGTTTATGTTTCTGATTGCGCGTGAAAAGGCCTTAAAGTTACTGGTTTGCTTCTTCATCCAGTCATCCAGTTTGCTATTTGTACCTTGAGACCGAAACATTGGAGCCGCGGGTAAGGATTTAATTTCGGTATCGGCCGTATCCTTGGTATGCTGTTCCACGCTCACCCCGACCGATGTGCCAGCCAAAGGGGTCGCGGGTCTCAAAACTGATGATGTAGTCGCTTGCTTTATGTACTCGTGAGTAGATATATAAAATTCTTTTGTTTGCTGATAGCGGTTTTTAGCGAAATACTCTAAAGATTCGTCCTTAAAACCGCTCAAAGTAACATGATTCATCTGAAATTCCTGCCAATAGGCATCTAAAGTCTCCAGACGTCGCTTGACATAGTCTGGAGTCCTATGCTCATGCCCAGTTTTCTTAAAATTAACTAACAACTGGTTCATGGCCACCATTATTTGATTCTGGTTTTCTGCAAGATCCTCCATTGTTTGGCTCATGATGTACAGAAAAAAAAGGAAAGATCTTACTTTAATACTGCTGACTGGAAGCCAGTCTGTATGCTGCTGTGTGTGTGTGTGTGCTGCTGTGCTTACTCCTGGGGCTGCTCTTAGCGTGAAGTGACGCTGATAGTGACCACAGGTACGCTGATAGTCAGTAACCGGACGCACGATATATTCTTGATCGAACACTCGCGTTATAGTCCCGTGTTACGGTTACACTCGAAGGACCATTAATGTAGGGGTAGTTTCCCTAACATTACTGATAGATTGCTGGTTTGATAAATGAGTAGACAACTTTACCGAATGATGATTTTATTGCTACTAAATTATGTACAAAAATTATGTATGTAAAGTAAGTGCCTATGTACTCGTAATACGAGTGCAATACAAATGAGTGAACGCAAGCTAATTTCATTAACTACTACAAATGTGCGGGTTTGCTCGTACAGTTTTGAAATACTTAGATAGTCCAAAGAAAGTGCAGCGCCGGTCCATCGATGACAACCTTCCCCTACCTAGCAGTGTACATCATCATCATCAACAGCCTTTAATAGTCCACTGCTGGACATAGGCCTCTCTTTAGAAAGGATTTTTACAGTAGAAACTTTCTCAATGTCAAGGAAACAGGGATATAATAACTACATCTAGGTACTTATTTTAAATTCAGTAAGTGTTGATGTTTGCATTCAATTGATTTAAAAAAAGTAGTTATTATTATTTGTTTAACATAAAGTCAAAGTACAATTTATGCCAAGTAAGAGCACCGACTAAAGGACGCTGAAAGATAATCTGGCTCTACCCTAATCAATGGCCAGGGCCAGGTCTGACTATAATGACATAAAATCACAAATTTTGGCGAAAAACAGTCTTACAACAAAACAAAACTTTGTTATTATATCACATAAAAAGTACTTTTGCAATTACAAACATATATTTTACGGTAAGTAATTCAAATCAATATACTTTTTTAAATGCAACCAAATTTTAAATTCGCAGTCAGCTGGCAAGAAACTCCAAGGCTCCTCTTTTCCAAAACGTGTGGTTGTGTGGTTAAATAGAATGTGAGGACAATGTCATATTGCTATAAAATATAAACAGTTTCACAAATGAATTAAAAAATCATTATAATAATTGAAGTAGGCATGCATACATTATTTTTTTTTATATTTTATGATATAATTCTGAAATTAACTTAAGATTATATGTTTTGAAAAATTGAATAAAAATATTAGCAAATAATAATATTCTAACACACTCACACAACACCATCTAGTCCCAAATTAAGCAAACCTTGTACAATGGGAATAAATACAACTGATATAAATACATAAGTATATGTATACGTTTTTTTTGGAAAATACATACATATTATACAAATCAAACATTAAATGTTCATGCACACAAATGTTTGACTTGAGCAGGAATCACACCTGTGACCTTTGAAAATGAAAATAACTTATTGTTAACGATCACCTACACAACATGGTTTTTACCATGGACATTTGGAAAAGTGTTGCCTCAATATTATTTTAAAATCCACCATGAGTGAAGAAAAGAGTGGTAAACCAGCTGAGATGGGAAACATAGATCATAGCAATATAAATGGTATCAGAAGCAAAAGGCTGGTTCAGCAACCTTTCCATCCAGATTTGTTCACGAGACAAAGATTGTCTTCTCTAGGAAGTAATCAATCCAAAACTCATCCTGCCTCTGGAGATCCACCTGTTGATACAGAAACAGAGACAACAGAACCTTGTCCTCCAACATAGCAGAGAATACTTGTAAGTAGAAGATTCTAAGAGGAAGAAAACATCTAAGAGTTGTTAGATGTTTTCTTCCTCTTAGATTTTCACCTGAAACAGTGAAAATCTCTAACAGATTCACAGGTCTGACAATAGCTCTCACTGATACTGAAGCTGTACCCAAAGAGAAACGTCAAACCAAAAGTATTATATGATGTTGAAGATGTCAATAAGCTCATCAAACTTTGGAACAAAAGACTAGTTTAGTTTCAAAATTATCAATTGTAACTAAGTAGTAGCTTGGATATAGAAACTTATAAACAAATTGTAAATATGGCACTCAATGGTTTGATCGGTCATGCCTTTAATTGAAAACACCAAAGGTGCTTCAGAGTGGTACGAAACTTGCACCCAATCCAATGTATGCTATCAAAGAAGCAATTCAAGTTACAGGCAACATAGTCTCAGGCGAAATTATTTATGCAAAATTTGGGCCTGCTGAAAACCAACATCAACATTTTTTGTAAATATAGCACCTGGAAGGAATAACAAGGCTGTGAAGGAACTCAAATATAAATACTACCAATCAGTTGTTATTGAGGATCCAAAGAAGCGAACTTCAATGTGCAATGCCAAAGGTGCCAAAAATATGGACATTCAAAAAATTATTGTATGTGCCAATATTGCTTTGTAAAGTGTGGACAATCCCACAAAACATCTGAATGCCAAAAACATGACCCCACTACTCCAGCCCATTGTGCACTATGTAACTAAGAAGGGTGCAAATTATACAGGGAAATTCTGCTAAGCCAACATGTTCAGGTGCAAGAAGTTAACAAACGCAAACAACTGTGGCCAAAAATACTGTGAATAGACTAGTGCCAAAAATACCTGACAAGGTAGCTCAAATGCTGGGGACGCAAAGAAAACATACTCTGATGTTACACAAAACAAAATAGGACCAGCTCAAGAAATACCAAAACCTTCGAACTTGAAGGAGATTTTAATCAAACAGGGCTTTATAAACTCTTTTGGTCATTCTTTCTTCCCTCATGTGTTCAACATATATAAACCCATGCAGCATCCCTTTTAAATTCTTATTCTTCTATTGGAAGAATGTTACACGCACACACAAATATCCATATGTCACAAGTAGCTTTAGTAGGTGGTTCTTTCACATTACCATTCATCTTGACTATCAATTTTACTTACGTAAAATAAAGCCATTGTGCTAATCAAGATTGTGATCTGTGTGTGAACTTTCACAATTATATTAATGGTAAAAAGATTGAAAGAGGTTAAATATTGTAATAATAATTAGTCCATATGGTCCGTCCATTATGATCTTTGAAATACAATGTAGTCAAGTTTTAGTACACTGGTTTAAGAGCATATACAATTTGTTATGTGTGATTTGTTTCTTATAAAAATAAGACAAGTTGGATGTTATGTTTACACATGTATGTATTTATAATTGTAAGATTAAACTGACGTAATATACATAATACAATTGCATTATTTCGTTTTGAAAAAGGATTGCTTTTTTTCAAAAACAAAAACATTGATTTTAATGAAGTATGTTTGTATGTATACATAAGACCAAGATTGAAACTTACTATTAGTAACAAACCTTGCATGTGTACTACCAACATCAAGCTGAGTTTTTTTGTGTGTTTGAATTTGTACAGATATTGAGTGGTCTGTGAATAGGCCCGTACAAAACAAATAAAAGTGATGATTGACTGATTTATTTTACCTATCAATTAGTTCCTGTCAAGTACTTAATTTAGCCAGTCTCAGTCTGATAATACAGAACTACATTCTAAATACACCACACAACCCTTACTTTTCTATATTCAAGGTCAATTATTCTACTAAAACATTTAATAGTTACCTTGTTCACTTATAACTCCGCACACTACAAACAGCTGAATTAGCAAATATTTACAATAACTGCGACTTATTGTGTTCGTGGTAATATAACATCTCGAAATTAGCAAAAGCCAATTTTAATGTAATGTACATTTACCAACATATATTTTATCAATTTCACTTGCTTGTTTCACTAATTCGATGGCAATATTGATGATAAACTAGTTTTATTATTTATTCCGACATTAGACGACACAAGAACACAAAATTGCAGAAAATCTGTTTAACAGATTAAACACGAAAATTAATATCAAAAACCTTTCCATTCAAGATCTGACATTTGTCAACTATTTTTTAGTAATCGACTAGATTCTTATGACGATTTAATTTGCCGTTTTTATGTTACGGTTTGTCGATTCAGAAGAGACAATGGATACCAACAGATTATGTTTATCCTTTGGAAAGATCCAGTTCAGGTACGGAAAGAAGTATTAGCTATCTTTACGACAGTAATTGTATACTAATTAACATTTTGCAAGTCAAAAACAAATTTAATTTCTGATAAAAGTACTGATGAAGTCCTTGTTATTATAGCGTATATTATAAAAAAAAGACCCTATTTTTTGGTTCTTGTGAAATGAGTAGAATTGAATATTTCATTAATCATGTAAGATATGTAACTTCTTTTTTTCTTCTTTTAAAAAGACAACTCCCGCATTAGGAATATATCCTGTATCGCGGAGGACTTAACATACATACATGAAACGGACACAAAGAACACCCAGACTCAGAACAACAATTCGTAGATCATACAAAGTGTCGTCCCATGTGGGGATCGGACCCACAACACTCAGCGTAGTAGGAAACGACCGTTTAAACCACTACGCCATCCGTGCAGTCGTAACTAGCTATAAAAAGATGGCATTTAGAAATAAGTTCAAATGCAAGTGCAAAATGAATAATAATTAAGAATGTCCTCAATACGAAGAAGCTATTTAAAATAAAACACACCTAGAACTTAAGACTTAGTGGCCTCCGTATTTATGACGCCAATATCAATTTATTTATTTATTTCAAATGAGGAAATCTCCTCATGTGTAAGGCTTAGCATCTCGCGCTTGACTTGTACAAGATCATTTTGTTTCGCCCTCATAACTAGCAGATATACGAGTATGGTGTTTTAATCGATATTAGTATCAGTCTAAGTTCTACTCTTGTGCAATGTACTCCCGTATGTTCTAGATTTTTATTAGATAGATAGATTAGATAGATTTTTATTATCTGGAATAAAAACTTATGTAGCCCTCTCCAGATTTTAGATACTCGAATAATAAACACTAAATTAGCTGTTAGTGTTCAGTTCAACTTTTTGATGTTTCGGCAATCCAAAGGTGGTATTAGATGGTTAAGTATCAGCTTAAGTTAAACAGCTCTCTTATTCGTAAAGAAACACGCCTCTCGTGTAGAATGTTTAAAAATGTCAAGATTCATCATAAAATCAATCAAAAATGTCAACTTATACACAACCATAAGTCTCAGAGTTTGGTTGGTATGCCATAACCTTAAGGTCCTTAAGGTCCTCAAAAATTCTAGAGATCCAATCAAAAACCTTAGATATCTAAGGACTACTGTAACTCAAACAGCCTGGCAAGAGAACAGAAAGTGTTACTCCTTGAAGAATAGGAAGCTAGTTACTTGTACCCAATACGGTCAATGTGGCCAAAACTATTTTTTTTTGTGGCAAACTGTGCCGATGACGACAATAGGGAATATGCATGTGTTTTTTTTATTTTTTTAAACGATTCTACTACTTATTACATTACCAAAAAAAAAATATAACACATCCAAAATATAAACCGTTAAGCAAAAAAAAATTATTAAAATCACCATCATTTTGGGGCAATTTGAACACGTTCATTTTGGCGCGCTTTTTTTGTGACGTCAGATTACACTTTCAGACGAATTCGATGTCAACAACGGAGTGAAGTTCACAAAGTTTGTGAAAGTTAAAAAAGTGAGTGATAAAAATTAACTTATTACCATGGAACAGCCAATAAAAACTAATTATAAATATTGTGCCGTTCCTTTGTGCCCAAATAATATCAAAACTGCACCTGACAAAGTATATTCAGTCATTGAGTTGAGTCTTTCTACACGGGAATTTAATAATTTAACACTGAAAACGTATTAGTTATTAACTTAAAATGAAACAAATAATCACCAGAAACCAAATATTATAAATACACACAACTTGTTGACACTCTTGACAGTGTAGGTTGACGTCACGTTTTATTCAACCAATAGCGTTGCGTTTTAGAAATTTGCGAGGGAATCTTAAAAAAGCCAATTTTTGATGATTAAATTTCACTATTAAATTATAATACATTTCAAAAATAATTGTATGGGTATCTTTTTTTAGCAATAAAAATTACAAATAAAAATATTTTGTCCGTTTTGGTGTCACGTGCATATTCCCTATTCTGCCAAAGTCTAGTGTGTGATGAAGAAAAATCTAGTTCATAACTTCTGATAACTTTTTGCAGGAGTTATCACCAACATTATTATGTTCACCATCTTTAATCTTTATTCCTGTTTCTAACGTTCAAGACATTGCTCCTGCGAGTGTCAGTAGTTAGTCAAATTCTACTTTCCGCTTACGTTTTATAGCTAAAATGCAGTCACTAATATTTCACACACAGTTCAGTGAACAAATGTGAACAGTGAATAAAGTACCCTCTTTTTTTACTAGGTATATTTATTAAACTAAAAAAAGGTACGAGCAGATCAGATCTTTAGAAAAAAGCAACCCTGCCGCGAAATATAAAAAGCAGATATATGTCATCTCTCAGACCAATATGCCAACTTGTATCGCCATACGTATGCGTGTGATTATGTTGCCTTTTGAACTGTTGTCAGGTTTCAATCAGTGCGATATAGATTTCATCACACTAGAGGTAGGTATCAGCCTGCTTTAACAAACAAACTCAAGGGTTCTCTACTTAATCCGTCATCCTCGTCTGGGCATCCGGAACTTTTAACCGGTTTGACCTGGTTTGTTAGCCTGATTTATGGGCTACATGTATAAAACCTGATGTACAAAAACTTTAGACCGGTACTTACTGTATGTATTTCTACATATCAGTACAATGCTGGTA